AACCTACATGTATACCTCTTCACCTTTCATATATACACATTCTTTCTTTACATATGTTAATCTATTTGTTAAGATTCCACACACCCCCTTTTTTTTTTTTTTGGTACTGGGGATTGAATCCAGAGGCACTTAACTACTAAGCCACATCCCCAGTCCTTTTTTATATTTTATTTAGAGACAGGGTCTCCTGAGTAACTTAGGGCTTTAATAAGTTGCTGAGGCTGGGTTTGAATTCATAATCCTCTTGCCTCAGCCTCCGAGACACTGGGATTATAGCTGTGTGCCACCTCACCTGGCTTTAGTTGCATCTTATTGGACTCTAAGGTATTGTGTCTCCTTAAAGGGCCTTTGTATACCTCTGCTCTGATAGTGTTGAGCTTGCAGTTTAATTCTCAAAGGAGAATTCCCCTATTGCTAATTTATTAATTTATTCAGTGAGTAAATATCTTTATGATGCATCTACTGTGTTCCAAGCACTTGTAATTGCTAGGAATACCTAGCATAAGTAAAAAAGGAAAGAACCCTGTTCTCAAGAAACTGACAGATTACTACAGGAATCCCTAAATTCTTAGGATCACCTCACATTTGTTTCCAAATGATAATCACCAGGTCCAAAATGCTATTTTCAAGCCATTTAATAGTAAAATTAAACAAAAAAATAGCAATTCAGTGGCCTACAAGGAAAACAGAGTTCTTTTATCAAATAAACTGTAACCACTTCTTTCTGGCAGTGAGCTTCATCACTGAACCCAAAAAAAGAAATGAAAAAGAAGCCCTTAAAGTATAAGTCTGTGGGTACCGGGGCTCTACCAAGGAAGACGTAAACTATTAAGTGGTAAACAGGAATGGGGGATAATTAAAGAGCTCCCTTATTTTGGTTATTTTTTTTCAGGAATAATCCCTACATTCCATGAGCTTAATAACAACAGCGAACAATTAAGAATATATTTGAATGCTGGATGCAGTGGTACACACCTGTCCCAGAATGCTGAGGCAGGAGGATTGAAAGTTTAAGGTCAGCCTCAGTACCTTAGCAAGACCTTGTCTCTAAATAAAAAATTAAATGTGCTGGGGATATAGCTGAATGGTAAAATGCTGATGGGCCTGGGTTCAATCCTAAATACTAGGGGAAAAAATGTATCTGATCAAGAAAAAACATAAGAGTTCAGGTAAAAACTGAGTATATTCACAGTATATAAACACTGACTCAGGCTGACTCAGGTTATTGCCAATTGCTTTGTTTTTTTTTTTTTTGGGGGGGGGTGCTGGGGATTGAACCCAGGGCCTTGTACATGTGAAGCAAGTACTCTACCAACTGAGCCATATCCCCAACCCTTCTCCAATTGCTTTTTGCTGCTATTTTTTGTTGCTGCTTTTTGAAATAGATTTTTTTCCCCTTATAAAAAAGGTTATACAAATACACTGAAAAAGAATCTTGAGGGCTGGGGATGTGGCTCAAGCGGTAGCATGCTCCCCTGGCATGCGTGAGGCACTGGGTTCAATCCTCAGCACCACATAAAAATAAAATAAAGATGTTGTAGCCACTGAAAACTAAAAAATAAATATTAAAAAATTCTCTCTCTCTCAAAAAAAAAAGAATCTGAAAAACATAGACTATAAAGTGAAAATAATTCCACTACTCAAAAAAATATACACTTTTAGTTATATATCTTATTTCAGACTGTTTTCTATCATATATAATTTTTCTTTTCACATAATTAGTAGTACAGTGAAAATGCAGTTCCATATCTTGCTTTTGTCATTTAACATTAGGAGCATTTCTCCATGTTCTTGTTCTTCTAAATTATTTAGGGATTAGATAATATCTTCTACAAATTTGTGAATACGCAAAAATTCCACCACTGTCCTATTGTTGAGCAGGTTACAGCAATGTTTCGCAGCATAGAAAAAATAAGTGTTCATGCATACTCTCAGGCAAAACTACCTGAATATATCCTTGAGATAAAGTCTTGAAAGGGGAATTAAGTTAAAGGATATAAACCTTTTAGGTCTTGAATACTTATGCCAAGGAGTTCTCTGTTAAAATTCTCCAGCAGCATATGAGGGAAACCACATCATCCTTTAGCAACACTAGATGTTTTTACTTCTGTTTTTGGTTTGGTTTGGTTTTTTGAGGAGCTGGGAATTGAACCCATGGCCTTGCACAGGTTAGACAAGGTCTATACCACTGGGCTTCACCACAACCTCTTATATATTTTTACTTTAACATGACAGAATAAAAAGGGCTTCTTATTTTAATCTGCAGTTCTTTGCATTCTAATGAGAATGAACACCCTAAATACATTCACTCTAATTTCTTTCTTTCTTTCTTTCTTTTTAAATAGTCTGTGCTACCCAGGATAGCCTCAAACCCCTGGGTTCAAGCAATTCTCCCACTTCAGCCTCCCAAGTAGTTGGAATTACAGGCACTCACCACTGTATCCAGCTTTAATTTCACTCTCAGTTTATATCACTGTTGATACCACTGGGCTTCACCCTCTTTATCTATTTAGATTGTGGTTTTTTGGGGGGGCGTACCAGGGATTGAACTCAGGGGCACTCGACCACTGAGCCACATCCCCAGCCCTATTTTGTATTTTATTAGAGACAGGGTCTCACTGAGTTGCTTAGCACCTTGCTAAATTGCTGAGGCTGGCTTTGAACTTGAGATCCTCCTGCCTCCCCGCCTCCCGAACTGCTGGGATTACAGGTGTGGCCACCTCGCAAGACCAGGAGATTGTTTTCTTAAAAAAAAAAAAAAAACAACCAAAAAAAACCAAAACAAAACAGTGTGAAAGAATTCCAACAAACTAAAACACATAACAACTATGCCTGTCACGCGTTGCCTGCACATTCCCACAGCTGGAACACACATGGTCATTGATCTTTTACTTTCATTGTGGAAGCTCCACATTTTTCTAAAGTTTAACTGGTATAACCTAACTCCCACCACGAGCACTCCTAGTTACACCACCTTTGCATCTTTACACTCACTGGGGTTCTGTTTTTAATCACCAAGCTAACAGGGTACTGAAGACTTGCCCAAGGAATCCACAAAACTATGTATGCTTAACCAAGTGCAACTAAAATATACAGAAAGACTCAGAATTGGTTTTTCCTCCCCTGTTTTTTGAATCCCTCAAATAGTAAGCTGCTTATCATGGTTCTGGGTAAAAAGAAAGTTTTTAGTTCTCAAAAAGATCACCTGTGGTTGGAAGGCAGCACAACAGAAGAAAAAAAGCATGCTGTAGAAGGTACAAACCTGTCATGTTCTTGCTGTGTGACCTTGGTCAGGTCATTTTGCCTCTCTGGGCCTCAATTTCCTAATTTGAGAATAAAACTATCTGTTTTAGGGTTATTATGAGAATTAAATGGGAAAATATATGCAATGTTTATAACCAGGAGTCTGGTATGTGATTGATACACTTCAAAAATTTTGTTTTTCTGGGCTGGGGCTGGGACTCAGCGGTAGTACACTTGCCTGGCATATGTGAGGCACTGGGTTCAAATCTCAGCACCACATATAAAGAAAGAAAGAAAGGTCTATCAACAACTTAAAAAATATTTTTAAAAAAATGTTATTTTCCTAATTTGATAGTGCTAAATCAGTTACTTATTTAATTTAAATGGTCTTAAATAAAATGCTGCCTAGAAATATTCAACAAAAACCATCAGGGTAAAAAAAAACATTTAGGTCACCAGGCATAGTGGCACATGCCTATTATCCCAGCTTGGGAGGCTGAGGCAGGAGTTCAAGGCCAGCCCCAGCAACTAAGCAAGTTGCTAAGCAATCCAGCAAGACCCTGTCTCTAAATAAAATATTTTAAAAAGGGCTGGGAATGTGGCTCAGTAGTAAAGTGCCCCTGGGTTCAATCCCAGGTACCAAAAAAAAAAAAAAAAAAATTTAGGTCACTTTTTTGCAATTAATCATCAACCACCATTATAAGACAACAAAAACCCCAAAGCTGATGTTACTAAAATTGCTAAATACAGTAATTACTTAGCCCTTAAGATTATGACCACTAATTGCTTTAGGAAAGCAACATAAATCTTTGTAATTATAAGAGCAAAAGTCTGATTAGTTATCCCCAAGGGTGACCTCTATAGCAGAAGGCTTTTGGTCATTGCCCAGAATGGCAGTACACTCAGAAGTCTTTCTCGAATTGCTGTTTTCTCACACTCCATACTCTGAAAGGAACCATATCAACAAAAGAACTGAAAGAGTAAAAAAAAAAAAACGACAGAAATGGAATTCTCCTTTGATATTCAGCTTTCTTGGTACTGACTCCTGGCAAGGGGCTCTAGTGGGGTGAAATAATCTTGAGGAAGAAAGCCTACTCTATGAAACACAGCATTTTCTATGGAAAAAGCAAGAAATACATTCTATTCTCTCTGTAAGTTTAGATTCCTCTAGGAAAGGAAGCAAAGTATCATTTACTAAGCATGTCCATTCAGCGTGCTACACCATATGCTTTAATTAAAATATCTTCAAATCAAACTATGAGGTAGATCTTATCCTTCCTCAAACACATTAGATAACTTGCCTAAGGTCTTAGTCATTAAGTAGAAACATCCAGCTCCGGGACCCAGATCTGTCCAACTTTGAAAGCTTTTTCTTTTCAAAGCATCTTTCAAATCTCAAAATGATCATGCCAGTTCTTTATTTAAATTTTGGTTCCCAAACAAAACAACCTAACCCAACAAGTTAAATATCCACCAAAATGATGACATTTTCTTTCAATTAGTAGACTGTTTTTCTGCCTCTTAGTAGTGTGTTAAGATGAACTGAGGGACACACACAGAGTGCCCTTTTTTAAACTTTTTTTTTTAATATTTATTTTTTTTTTAGTTTTCGGCAGACACAACATCTTTGTTTGTATGTGGTGCTGAGAATCGAACCCGGGCCGCACGCATGCCAGGCAAGCGCACTACTGCTTGAGCCACATCCCCAGCCCACAGAGTGCCCTTTTTTAATCTTAAATCTATAAAGAAAACAATACCTGTTGACAACCACAGAGCACTGAAGCAGAAGCAAGTATAAAACAGGTACTGGCTTCTCAACCACCTCATGGATGTCTGCCAACAATATCCTGATAAAATCCAGGAAGTGAGACTTGGCTTGACTCCCGGCCTCCTCTCCATGGCCTTCCAGACTGGCAGAACCAGTACACTAGAAAGACAGAAAGAGAAGAAATTAAATGCCAAGTAATTAATAATTGATTCCTAGAAATGTGGAATGCTGGAGAATGTGTCAGATTAGGAGAAAGAAAAATTTCAAGTTTGTCTTTCAGTGCACATCCCTGCCTGTAAATTTTAAACCTGAGCTTTGACACAGCCTATAATTATCAAAATAACAGAGCAAGGGATATAAAATGAATTCACTGTAAAACTGAAACATTTTATATTCCATTATTGTCTAACTAACAGTAAACCATCTATATAACAGAATAGAAAGAGTATCAGTCTGAAAAAAAAAAAAAAAAAAAAAACTTTGATTTTTTCAGTTCCCGTTCTGCTAAAGCTTTGGGTCTTTGACCAAACACATTTTCTTATCTATGAAAAGATGTTGGACTTCTAACTAAACTTGAGGGAGTTGTAAAAATATTTTAATGGGATCATATTTAGGGCATGCACTGTCACTCTCCAGTTTGTTACAATTCCCACCACTAGTATCTTTAAAATCTACCCAATTTATACTTCATGTTACCCCCTCCCCCCAATCCTCAAGAGTCATCTGCAATTCCTGGCTTAAATTCATACATACATTCAGCAAATATTTATGTCAGGCACTTTTCTGGCTACTCCAGAATTCAAGGGCTAGATGATTTAGGTCCCTTCTAGCAGGAAAATTAAAAAAAAAAAAAAAAAGTTTCTTCCTTCTTACATAACTTTGCTATATTCTATAAATTGTTATGTAAATCTTGAAATATTATGAGTTGATAAAGTTCTGAAGAAGTAATTCAATAATCTATTGGCTAGGCAAAGTGGCTTGCACCAGCTTCTCAGGAGGCTGAGGAAACAGGATGTGTGAGCCTAGGAATTCAAGGCCAGCGTGAGCAACACCATAGATCCCCATCTCAAAAAACAAAAACTACTAAATATGTATCCATCGGCCAGGTATCCTGATACACACCTGTAATCCCAGGTACATAGGAGGCTGAGGCAGGAAGATAACAAGTTCAAGGACAGTCTATGCAAATTTAGCAAGACCCTTTCAAAATAAAATTTTAAAAATGGGCTTCAGGTATAGCTCAATGGTGGAACTCTCATGAGTAAGGCCCTGGATTCAATAGTACCTCCCCACCAAAAAAAAAATTTAAATATATATGTATGCCTGTCATCCACATCTGGCAAACAACACAGACTGACAACCCCTAACTTTCACCCCCAGCTAGCCTACAGGGATCCAGATCAGCATTACCTGAGTTGGATTTCAAAGCTAATGCCAGGAAACAAACATAAACACACCACTGCAAAACTGAGGTGTAGCACATCTAAGAAAAGGTTTTCACTGAGCCCTAACTATATGAAGGACTTCATCTTTCGTGTCCAGTTTCCAACAATTCCTATATCAAGGGGTTGGGGATGTAGCTCAGTGTTAAAGCACTTGCCTAGCAAGCATGAGGCACTGGGCTCCATCCCCAGCACCAAAAAAAAAAAAAGAGAGAAGACAATTCCTATTTCTAGTTTGTTTCATAGTTTTCTGTTAGGGAAGGGAAGGGGCAGGGGCAGATAGATGTGTGGGCCAGAGATACACTCAAGAGATTATGAAATGGAGCTGAAGTTAGAAAGTATATCCAGCAAAACTTCTGTAGCCTCCCAAGCTGGAATGGGTGTGTGCGAGAGAGAGATCTTACCCAACACATTTCTACCTACCACAAAAGGATTTAAAACTCAAGGTGACTCAACACCTGTCATCAATAGCCTGGCAGGTGGGTGGGAAAGGCAGAAAAAGAAATGAATAGGCTTTGAAAACAGGAGTAATAAACACCATCGGACTAGCAAGCTAATTAGAAGTGCAATATCTTACAAACTGTGCATAACAGAGGCACATCTATTTCTATTTGAACACCTAACCAGTCCTTCTACTGAAACCTACAATTGCCTATGGGCACAAATCACTGCTAGGGTCCAGTTAAAGGCTTGCTGACCACAGGCAGGAACAACACATTACCAAGATCCAAATGGTTTGTTATGGAATCAAAGGATAACAACTCAGGGAGAGAACACACACCCCCACAATACTTGACAAATGAAAATCTAGAAAAGCTCCCAATAGTTCTGGCATTTAGGGCGTTACAAGAACAACCGAAATAAAAGCACTCTCTGTTGCAGCAGCTGTTCAGACAGAGCAGGGGGTAATGTTTACTTAATACTTCAGGTTGATGGGGGATGTATCATAGTTCAGTCTGTCAGCTACATACGTGGAACTCCATTTATGTACACAGCGATAAGATATGTTTGAACAACGACAGAGCACGTCTGAAAAAGCCTATTCAGCGCGTGTGAGTAATCAAAAATAAAACTTTAAAGAAAAAAAAAGTCTCAGATATTTGGGAAAGTTACAGAACAGACTGCCATGAATAGCTTTGCTTATATTTGCAGACACTGTTTTCCAAATAGCTGGAAAAATGAACAGATTGTTCTGGGAGGTCGTCTTTCCAAATTGTTCCTAGTTTCCAGTCTGTGAATCATAAGAAAGCACAAGGAGAGTCGACTAATGCTCTTTACTAACAGCATCCAATGTCGATGAGCCCAACTATCACGAGGTGAGAGAAGACAAAGCATTTCTGGAACCCCGCTGAGAGTTTCTATTCTGACTTCCTTGGCTTCACCTCTGTACTCACTTGCAGCCACCACAGGACCCTCTGCGGGACATAATTGTCAAAACCCTGACCGAGGCTGGTTTCGCATTGTAATTTACACATCATGCTCAACCCCGTCCCCCTTTTTCTGCATCAAACACAGCAGCTAAAGGCGAGGGTGCAGAGGTCGAGGTGTTAGAAGGACGGCAGCGACCTGAGTCCGGTATGTCAGTATTGACTGTCAGGGAATGGAGGGAGCTGCAGGACCAGACCTGGGCCCAGAAGAAGTGGGATTCGGTCTGGGACTCCAGCTCCGCAACTGCAAGGCCAGAAGCAGCTGACTGCCCTGTCCCAGCTAGGAGCTCCACCTCCGGGTCCCAACAGCGGGTCAGTGCACCCCCAGGCATCGTCTGTACCGCCTGCCCCTCCCCTGAGCTCATGGTCCTCGGCCTGGTAGCCAGCCGCCCCGGCCACCTACCGGGGCTCAGGGGCACATAGCGGGGCCCCGGCTCTCGGCGGCCTCCGCCTCCTCCCAGTCCATGGGCTCGGGGCCCCAACCTTCTCTCCCCTCACCGGGGGAGGAGGAAAAGGAAGAAGGTAGTGCGGGCTCCCCGCCCGGACAGCTCCCTCTCGTCTCAGCCTCCCTGGACAGCGACGACGGCCGGAAACGCCGCCTCCTCCCACCTCCCCGGGCTCAACCCGGAAACACACTCTTCAAGCTAATCAAGCCCTCCCGCCCCCACCCTCCGGAAGCGCAATTCCAGCCGCGAGCCCGAGGGGGAGGAGGGGCAGCGCTGGAGGTAGAACTACGCACAAGCAAAGGAGTCTGGACACCCCCCCAGCCTCTCGCCTCCCGCTCTCCTGGGGCAGTCTGCACCTTGCCTTCTTTGCATGTGCCCCAAGGCCCAGACTCTGGCAATACCCACAAGGAAGATGGCGGCAATGGCGGCACCCCCTACGGCGTAGCGCCCTGCGGTGCCATTGGCCAGAGCCCCAAGTGAAGCCGCCGCGGATTGGCCGAGGGCGATGCGGGGGTGGGGGTGGAGCTGCAGCAGCCCGGAGCCCGGAGTGGGCAACGCGGCGTGAGCAGCGGCCCCAAGCTCCGGCAGCATCGCGCCCGCAGAAGACTTCACCGCTCGGGGCCGCAGCCTGGTGAGCTCAGCCCCCTTCAGGCCCTCCCCTGCATCCCAGCCGGGGCCTCTCCGAACCGGCGCTCATCAATGCCGAAGCACCCCGGGGACCCTATCGCGACTCCATCGCACCATATCGCGACACCATCGTGCCCTGTCGAGACTCCATTTTGTCACAGCCCTTTTCAATACATATCTTGTTTTAATTTGCCCCGTCATCTTTGGGGGCTGTCCCCATGTCGTGATTTTGCTGTGATCTCCGTGACATCATCGCGCCATCGTGAGGTGTGATCTCATCGCCGCTCTGTCGTGACTTCATCAATGTCGTGTTGTGACCTGGCTGCGGCGGGACAGGTGGTGACCGCCAAGAACCCTCCTCCCCTTCTCATCTCCCCATCTCAGCAGCCCCGCTTCGATTATCCGGCTTTTGGATTCTCTGTTGTCCCGGGAGCTACCCGACCCCTTCTTGCTTCTCCAGCCCTACCATCATCCTCAGGCTGGTAGCGAGACAGGGAGGGTGAGGACAGGGAATGTAAAGGGTTAACGCTGCTGCTGCTGCTGCTGCTGCTGCTGCTGCTGCTCTTGCAGCCTCTGCCCGAGGGAGGGAAAGGAGAGAAGGCAAGGAGCCTGCGGGGGCGACTGAGAGCCTTGGCTGAAGGGGTGGGGTCCCCAGAGGGGCCTCCAAACCTTGCCTGGTGAGCTCGAGCTCGAATTCTCACTGCTGCTGAAGCTTATCTCCTGCCTCATCTGAAGAAGGGAGGGAAAAAGGAAGCCTAGGATGCCCTTTTCCCCCTTGTCAGTCCGGATAATCGAACTTCACCATGTGTGTCTCCATTCCTCCCTGTCTGTCCTCACCACTTACTCCCTGTGCGCCTTGGGAGGGAGATAAATTCCGACTTTATGTGTCAGGGAGCCACTAAGCAGTGGGACCAGCCCCCTCCCACTCCCAGGAGATTGCTGAAGAAAGCTGTCCAGCTAAGCAGCAGGATGCACAGTCCTCCTTTCCCACTTTCTGGAGGTGACCTTGGACCAGGGTCCCTTCTTTACCCCAAAGGATTTGCAGGTCCAGCCTTTTCAAGTCCCCCCCTCCAAGGGAGGTCAGTCCTGAGGAAGCCACTTCTCCAAATCCTCCCTCCTCTCCCTCTGTGCTAATCCCTCCCTCCATCCTCCACTCCCACCCCTGCCCCCGCCCCCGCCCCTCCTCTGCAGAGGGATGCTCAGTCCCTCTTGTGTTCACAGTTGGGCAAGGCGGGCATCATGGCCTCGGATTGTGAGCCAGCTCTGAACCAGGCAGAGAGCCGAAACCCCACCCTGGAGCGCTACCTGGGAGCTCTCCGTGAGGCCAAGAATGACAGCGAACAGTTTGCAGCCCTGCTGCTAGTAAGGAGTTGGATAATTGGGAAATGGGAAGGACTGGGTGGTCGGGGCCCCCAATGGAATCAGCCAGTCCCTAAAGATATATAGTGGTGCTAACAACTTTGGAAACACCAAAGGAGTTCCAAGATCCCTACCCTTGTATTAATTTTGCTCCCCTAGACTCGGGGCAAAGGGGAGAATGCAGATGAATAAGGCTGTGGCACTGGGGTCCTTGGAGGAGGCTGCCTGAGTTTGCTTTCTGGGGTGTCCCAGAGCAGATGGGAGCTGACTCATAGGGTAACAGCAGCAGGTAGTAACTAGTGCAAAGTACTTGAGGGCTGGGGATGATTTTTCTGAGACCTGAAAGAGTAGCAGGACAGGAAGAGATTAAAGAAGGGTCCTAGGGGATGGCCAGGACTGCAGTAGGTAGCTTGAAGGTAAGGAAGCTGGTTTGGGTCTTAGCCCTTTTGGAGGAACCCAAGCTGGAGACAGTGGAACAGGAGCTGCAGTGCTAGAAAGGGGGGGTTAGTGTGTGGGGGGTAAAGGGAGGAGGGAGTACAGCCGCTGCTTGTTTGCCATGGCAACAGGGAGAAGGCTCTGGAGTCAAGGGCTCACACTGCAGCAGAGGAGGTGTTTAGGTGAAATGTAAGGGGAAATGTTTTGACATGCAGAGCAGCGAGACACAGGAGCCATTTCCCCTGAGAAGGTGGCGGAAATGGATCAGAGACTTATCTGGAGACAGTATTTAGGGAAGGACCCTAAATCCTTGGGGGATTTTAAACACTGAGTTCTAAGCTCCTTCCAACACAGGTTGTGGGCATCTAGATTAGATATCACGAAGAACTTCTCAACTGGCCAGGTAATGAAGTGCCCAAATGAGTGGTTGAGAAGGACAAGACCTCCCTGCCATGGGATGATCATAGGTGAGAGGGATCCCAGAAGTCACATTAGCCTGAAAAAGAAGGAGCTAGATGAGATGATCCCAGAGTGAGTTCTGTTGCGTAACCTAATCCTGTTAGTCTTCAGTGCCCCAGGGTTCAGGGAAGGGATTGTCCTTGCCACCTCTTCCTTTCATTCTGCTGATAGCATGTACTACTTGCCCCATACCCCTGTAGGTGACCAAGGCAGTAAAAGCGGGTGACATCGATGCCAAAACCCGGCGGCGGATCTTTGACGCCGTTGGTTTCACTTTCCCCAACCGTCTCCTAACCACCAAGGAGGCACCGGATGGCTGCCCTGACCACGTTCTCCGTGCCCTTGGTGTGGCCCTGCTGGCCTGTTTCTGCAGTGACCCTGAACTGGCCACCCATCCCCAGGTCCTGAACAAGATCCCCATCCTTAGCACCTTCCTCACAGCCCGGGGGAACCCTGATGATGCTGCCCGCCGCTCCATGATTGATGATACCTACCAGTGCCTGACAGCTGTAGCAGGCACACCCCGAGGGCCCCGGCACCTCATTGCTGGTGGCACCGTGTCTGCCCTGTGTCAGGCATACCTGGGTCATGGCTATGGCTTTGACCAGGCCCTGGCACTCCTGGTGGGGTTGCTGGCTGCTGCAGAGACACAGTGCTGGAAGGAGGCGGAGCCCGACCTGCTGGCAGTATTGCGGGGCCTCAGTGAGGATTTCCAGAAAGCCGAGGATGCCAGCAAGTTTGAGCTCTGCCAGCTGCTGCCCCTCTTCCTGCCCCCAACAACCGTGCCCCCTGAATGCCTCCGGGATTTGCAGGCTGGGTTGGCGCGCATCCTAGGAAGCAAGCTGAGCTCCTGGCAACGCAACCCTGCCCTGAAGCTGGCAGCCCGCCTGGCACACGCCTGCGGCTCCGACTGGATCCCAGCGGGCAGCTCTGGGAGCAAATTCCTGGCCCTCCTGGTGAATCTGGCATGCGTGGAGGTACGGCTAGGCCTGGAGGAGACAGGCACAGAGGTGAAGGAGGATGTGGTGACTGCCTGCTATGCCCTTATGGAGTTGGGGATCCAGGAGTGTACCCGCTGCGAGCAGTCACTGCTTAAGGAGCCACAGAAGGTGCAGCTTGTGAGCATCATGAAGGAGGCCATCGGAGCTGTCATCCTCTACTTGCAGCAGGTAAGGGGGTAGTGACCTACAGAGGGAGCCCAGTGTCCAGGAGTCAGGGCAGAGCCAGAAGGCAAAGAAAAGGGGTATAATGAGGAGAAAGCCAAGCTGCATGTCGGGCGGGCTGGTACTGCAGCAGCACTCAGGAGTAGTGTGTGGCTGAGCCTCACTCCCTCTCCCTCCCTCCAAAAGCCTCCAGAAAGCACCATACCACACACCATATGTGCACTCACATCCCAGCACACACACACACACACACAACACAGTAACCTCCCACTCACACAGTGCTCCCCAGTACACACACTACACACCACACACAAAATTGAAGCAGTCTGTTCTGCTCGCTCCGGGGCATTGTTTTACATATGCACACATACAAATTTACAGCGGTGCAGGAAAAAGGAGCAAGGCTGCCTGGTTCCTAGCCTTTCTAGGAGTTCAGCTAGATCTACTACCCACCCATTCGCAACCCCTTCCTCCCTCCCTCTGAGAAACCCACTCTCCTGTCCCACAGGGATTCAGTCATGACTCTCTTCTCTTTAATGGTCTGCTCCAACCGCTGAATTCACCAGCCACTGAATTCACCAGCCACACATCTAACAGACCATGCTAAGCTCTGGTCTCATTTTGTAATTTAGCCCAAAAGGGCATCCCCCCTCCCACTGTTGGTTGTATGTTCATGGCATGACCTGTCCTCCCATCCCAGGTAAGAGTCTCTGTAGAATGCGACTTACCTGTAGTCCTAGAGTTTCCCCCTAGCCTTGAGCTCCCTTGGCGGTGGAGAGATGGGGATGCACTTTGAGTCTCATCAAGGTGGGGCCTGTTCTCAGCAAGGTGGGCCTGCTTTGTTGGGTTTGCCCTCCCATTTGCTGGGTACTGGGTACATGGGGTAGGATGAGGCTTGGTGCCCACCTCTGAGGGACTCACAGGCCAGAATTCCCTTCCAGTTGTAGGCTGGCCAGCAGGCTGGTAAAACAGGGGAGGGTCTGTAGTCCTGCTTTATCTCAGAGGGGTCCTGTGGCAACAGGTGGGGCCAGAGAAACAGAAGGAACCCTTCGTGTTTGCCTCGGTTCGGATCCTGGGTGCCTGGCTGGCTGAGGAAACCTCATCCCTGCGTAAGGAGGTGTGCCAGCTGCTGCCCTTCCTCGTCCGTTATGCCAAGACCCTCTATGAGGAGGCGGAGGAGGCCAATGACCTTTCACAGCAGGTGGCCAACTTGGCCATTTCCCCCACTACCCCAGGGCCCACCTGGCCAGGGGACGCTCTCCGGTGAGTTTGTTGTTACACTATGTCCAGCCAGACCATTCTAAAGAAAACTATGACACACAGACTGGCCCCCGCAAACTGGGCTGTGCCAGGCTTCTAGAGGCCATGAGAGTTCTCTTAAGATCATTTCTATTTGTTTTGGGAGGCTTGTTCCCACAGGAATCCTGAGCTACCAATCCCAGATTTCTCAAAAAGAGAACTTAGGTTTATTGACCATCTATTACAAGCCAGATATTTTGCTATACCTTTTACTAGAACTATATCTTGTTGTTTGTGTTTGTTTTGTTTTGGTACTGGGGATTGAACCCAGGGATGCTTTACCAATGAGCTATACCCTAAGCCCTTTTTATTCTTATTTTTTGATTTATTTGTTTTTTAGTTGTAGATGGACACAACACCTTTATTTTATTTATATATTTTTATGTGATACTAAGGATCAAACCCAGTGCCTCATCTGTGCTAGGTGAGCACTCTTCTGAGCCACAACCTCAGACCCAGCCCTTTTTAAGACAGGGTCTCACTTAATTGCTTAGGACCTCTCTAAGTTGATAAGACTGGTCTCAAACCTGCAATCCTCCTGCCTCAGCTTCCCACGTTGCTGGATTACGGGCAGGTGCCACTATACCAGGCTCAGATCTATCTCATTTGGTCCACATGGCAAATCTGACAGAAGTTTCATCCACATTTTAAAGATGACAAAACCGAGGCTCAAAAAGTTTAAAGTAATTGACTGCGGTCAAGCTGTACAACAGAGCACCAATTTGATCCTGGGTCTGTGTAACTCTGAATCTTGTGCTTTTTCTGTAATACCTTCCAGGACATGTCCTTCTTCTCCCCTACTTTCACTTCTCTTAGGCAGGGTACCTTGAAAAAGGACATCTTTGTACCTTCATCTCTCCCAACCCCACACACGTCTGCCCTTCCACACCCCCCAGGCTCCTTCTGCCCGGCTGGTGCCACTTGACTGTCGAAGATGGGCCCCGGGAGATCCTGATCAAGGAGGGGGCCCCTTCACTTCTTTGCAAGTACTTCCTGCAGCAGTGGGAGCTCACATCCCCTGGCCATGACACCTCAGTGCTGCCTGATAGTGTGGAGATCGGCCTGCAGACCTGCTGTCACATCTTCCTCAACCTCGTGGTCACTGCACCAGGGCTGATCAAGTGAGGGGTTTGGGAGAGGCTGGGGGGAGATTCAATCAAGCATGGGGTGGTGGGGGGCTGCCCAGTTGACTTAAATTTTGACCTCTACTTTGCTTCCCTGTGCGTTTGGATTTCTCATAGTGTTAAAATGAAAAGGTCTCAGAATAGACAAAGCCAGTCCCGCTCAAGGATTTGGGCCCCTAGGTATTTTCCTGGAGCACATCTCAGTGCCAGCCATAACCCCAGATGCTATGGTTGGGGCTCAGGGTTAACTCTTCACGCTGCTACCTGATTTCTTACCAAACTCTGGCCCAGAGAAGTCAGGAGTCCCAGATCCAGATTTTCCAAAGGGTTTCATCTGGTCTCATAACCTTCTGCCTGCCCCCATCCTTGCCTCCCTTTCTTCCCCAGGCGTGATGCCTGCTTCACATCTCTTATGAACACTCTGATGACGTCTCTGCCCGCGTTGGTGCAACAACAAGGGAGGCTGCTTCTGGCGGCCAATGTGGCCACCCTGGGCCTCCTTATGGCCCGACTCCTTAGCACATCTCCAGGTAAGCCCTGGGGACCCAGGCCTGGTGGGTAAGGGCAGAAAACCTGGGTGGACCTGCTGTGCTCTGGGCGTAAGTCCTTTTACAGAAAATGATATTGCAGATTTTTTCTGTGAAGAGGAAATCTCTACAGTATATCTCTATCCGCCACCCCCACCCTTCTTCCTGAAATGATAACATGCTCTTCCTTCTGAAGACTTTTAAGGCAAGGTCTGGTGGGTGTTAAGTACAGGCCTGCTCGGAGGCACAGGCAGAGGCACCTGGAATCCCTGGCAGCCCAAGGACTCCAAATCCAGTGTTTTCAAGGTGGAGCTGCCCCCACCCAGGGCCTAAGTCAGAAACCTGACTTCCCTCCGTTGAGGTTTCTCATTGCTCAACAGATTCACCCGCCTCAGTGACAGGTGTCAGCACTCTGCCCCTCTGCACGGCTTCTCCTCCACCCTCCTCCCTCTGACTCTGTGCTGGGGGGAATGGTGTCCCCTCCAGCCCCTGACAGCCCTCAGTGTCTCCCACTTTGGCTGTGGGTGTCTGCTTGGGTCCCTCTGTCCCTGCCTGTTCCCTGTGCCCCATCTGTCAGGTTGGAGGAGCTGAGCAGATGCCTAGGAACAGGGTGTAACATGCCCATACCCTCAGCTGCCTCTGTGTTTTCTGTGTGGGGATCCCAGCAGGGTACCCAGCAGTGGGAAGGGGAACATATCCCTTTGGACCAGAAACCAGGAGGTCGTTTCCCACCCCCCACCCCCAACTCTCAGTCACTCCTTAGGTAGAGCCACCATGGCACTGACTCACCAAGTTAGAGGCAAAGCTTCCTGGAGAGCACTTGCAGAGGAGGTGAATCCCAACATGACAGGTTCACAAAAACCTGGTCACTTCCCCTCTTGGTGCCCTCTTCTGGCCTAGGAATCAAGCAGGTGCCTTATCACATCTAATTCTCACAACAGATTGCTAAGATTAGCAGTACTGGCCCCATTTTACAAGACCCAGAAAAGTTAACTACCCAAGGTCATACAGCAAGTGTGAAAGGTAGGGTTTAAACCCAGACAGTCTGATTCTAGGTGATGCTTGAGCTCCGTGTGTGTCCACACAGGAGGGAAAGTGAGGGGCTGGCCCAGCACTGGCCCATCTAGTTCATGTACCATTTTTTCCATGCCTTCCAGCTCTTCAGGGGACCCCAGCATCCAGAGGTTTCTTCGGAGCCGCCATCCTCTTCCTATCGCAGTCTCATGTGGCACGGGCCACACCTGGCTCTGACCAGGCAGTACTGGCCCTGTCTCCTGACTACGAGGGCATCTGGGCTGACCTGCAGGAGCTGTGGTTTCTGGGCATGCAGGCTTTCACAGGCTGTGTGCCGCTGCTGCCCTGGCTGGCCCCTGCCGCGTTGCGTTCCCGCTGGCCACAGGAGCTGCTCCAGCTGCTAGGCAGTGTCAGCCCCAACTCCGTCAAGCCTGAGATGGTGGCCGCCTATCAGGGTGTCCTGGTGGAGCTGGCGCGGGCCAATCGGCTGTGCCGGGAGGCCATGAGGCTGCAGGCAGGTGAGGAAACGGCCAGCCACTACCGCATGGCCGCCTTGGAGCAGTGCCTGTCAGAGCCCTGAGGGGTGTCCACTGGGGACAGACCCGGGGGCGGGCAGCGAGGGAAGGAGGGAGGAGGCATCTTCCCTGAAGCCCCCAAACAAGAACCCCCTCCCCAGACTCCTTCCCCCCAAAACACCCCAGCTTTCTGGCTTTTCTGAGGGCAAGGGCATGGTGCCCACTCCTCAAGTGTAAGGAACTGCGTCCCGCCCCCCAGGCCCCCATGGGGGCAGGGATCGGCTTGGAAATCAACGTGGTTGTCCCCGCCAGGCCGGGGAAGGTTGGAGAAGCCCCCAGGGAGGGGGGCAGTAGGTGTCATTGTGCCCAATGTCTGGCTCCCCTGCAGGAGGGAGGCCCCAGGGTAGGTCAGGGCTGGCAGGAGCTGATTGCCTCAGCCCAAGTGCCCTGCCGGCCAGGGCGTGGCCTCCCCTAGGCTGTGGTGCCCCTTCTGGCTCCCCAGGTCCACGTCCTTTAAATCGGCCATATGGCTCTTGCCCTTGGCCTCCTTGGGCAGAGAGCAGGCTCAGGCCATTGAAATCACAGTTCTTCCTTTCAACTTAAGTGACCAGGGTCTGAACTGCCCCTATCCTTTCAGGGCAACCTGGGGCAGACAGGCTAGTGTCGGGGGTGGGGAACCTCCTTCCACCCAGGCTTCCTTAAGAGAACCCAGGAGTCCTTGGGCCCGGGTCTCTCAGCTTATGTGTCATGTTGCAGCAGAGTGCCAATGGGGGTTGAGGGTTATTTATTTTGCTTGTATTTATCCCTGCTTGGACACCCGAGCATCTGATTTCCGTCCTCTGTGCCATCTTGCCTGGCCAGAGCCAGGAACAGGAGGAACACCTCCCCAGAATCCGCATGTTTCCCCAGTGATCGCACCCCATTGCCACCGTGGTGCCTGGCTTCAGCTCCCACCCCTGTTATTACTCCTCTGCAGAGAGACGCGACTGGCGGCTCCAGCAGGGACTACCTTATGAACCTGGGGAGGGATCCCCCACATCTGATCCCTTGCTTCCCCCCGCCCTCCCCCAGTGTGTTCTGTGATCACCACGTTCAAAGCTGTGCACATGTGGACACTCAATAAATGTTCATTGGTGACAAGAAGTCTGTTGTGTGGTCTGCCCTGCATCTGCTCTCCCTTGCAGGCTCCATCAGTTCATAGTTATCGTTTGCTGAACACACGTCCTGCTAAGTGACTTCACAAAGTGTTATTCAGCCTTCCCAGGAATCCTGGGAAGAAGATATCATAATTCTAATTTTACAGATGGAGAAACATAGGCATGGATAAGTAATTTGATCAAGGTATTGCAGCTAGAGCCAAGGCCTCCATGCAGACCCCTGTCTCCCCAGCCTACACCCTTCATTGACACAACAGAGTCACAAGCCCAGCTGTTGATGTGGCCAAACTTGGTGGGGACAAGTGAAGCACTGTCCCTTCTCTTGTCAGCAGGTTGTTAGTACTGATGATTGAACCCAGAAGTGCTCTACCACTGAGCTGTATCCCCAGTCTTTTCTTTTTAATTTTATTTTGAGGTAGGGGCTTGCATAGTTGCCCGAGCTGGCCCTAACATGCAGGCCAAATATGGATGTCAGGCTACCAGCTGTTGACCCCTGTTCCATGCCAAGTAAAAGGGGAACTGTCTGAGCACTTCAACTGGAGACAAGCACTGTCTGCCTCAGCTGGCCTGAGCCAAAACTAGCCCTGGCCTACACCGTCTAGACTCTTTCACCTAAGCCCTCAAACCCACAAGTGTTCACTGAATACATCTTGTTGCCCACCTAGCTATGCATAACAAGAATATTCTACTTATTGGATGTGCGAAAGCCATCATAGCATGGATTCTCTGGGGTAATTTATGAAAAAACCTAAGCTCTGCACCCAGGCAGCTTAAAATCTAGAGAGGAAACAGATAAGGCAACATAGAGGTATAATCAGTGGGTTTTTGTTTGTTTTTCTAAGAGAGAGAGAACTTTTTAAATATTTATTTTTCAGTTTTCGGTGGACACAACATTTATTTTATTTTTATGTGGTGCTGAGGATCGAACCCAGCACCCCGAGCATGCCAGGCGAGCGCATTACCGCTTGAGCCACATCCCCAGCCCTAATCAGTGGTTTTTATGGAGGTTGAAATAGTGTGGCTGGGTCATGAAGCCTCTCAGCCTGGCTGAACAAGTCCAGGAAAACTCAGCAAGTATTTGCTCTGAGACCAAAGGGGTAGGAGGGGTTTGCCAGGTAGACAGAGAAACAGTAGGTATAAAGGCTGGCAAACTTATCATTGCCTCAGTGGAGTATGAAGTGGGGAGTGGCAAAAGGTGGGGTTGGAGCAGATCCTAAGAGTCCTAGTGTGCTAAACTCAGAAGTTCAGATATCTTAGGTATGGGGTCATAATGAGGGACCAAACTGTAGGTCTTTGAGCAGATTAAATGGGATTCATTTTGCCTTTTTTTTTTTTTTTTTTTTTTTTTTGTACAGGGGATTGAATTCAGGGGTACTTTACCTCTGGAGCTACATCCCCATCCCTTTTTATTTTTTAATTTTGAAACAGGGTGTTGCTAAATTGCTGAGGCTAGCCTTGATCTTGAAATTCTCCTGCCTCAGCCTCCCCAGTCACTGCAATTATAGGTGTGTACCACTTTGCCTGCAAAATCCAGTTTGCATTTCAGAAAGATGATTAGCTGCCAGAAATGACTGAGGCAGGAAGCTCAGAGAGGAGGTGATATGTCTGAACTAAACCCATGGCAGTGAGGATAGAGACAGTACAGGTAGAAGTCAAGTAATAGAACTTGGCAATTGATTGGATGTGAAGAGAACAAAGAAGGGAAGGAGATCCAAGGATAACTCCAGATTTCTAATCTGGGCCACTGAGTGAAGAGTGGGGCGATCATGGGGGAACACTGAGAGAGAAACTGATCTGTGGAAAATTATAAACTGGTCAAAGGAGAATTTGTACAGCTTGTGAAATATCCAAGGGGCATTACAGTGGGACATCATGCCCAGAAAAGATTGATAACCCAAGGCAGACTGAGTTCTGCACTTTAATGAGGTTGGGTCAGAGAGTTCTGGGCTTAAGAGTGAGGACCAGGCTAGGCTGCACTTGGGAGAGACTAAGTTTACTTCCTGGTGATTCTGCTGATGGAAAAAGGGAGGTCTGAGCCGCAGCTGTAAGATCTGACCACCAGATGGAGCCTCTGCATCTTCTTGTGATAGTTCTCTCCTTTCTGGAACTACTACCATCCAGACCCAGAGATGAAGGTTGTCAGAGACTGGGAGGAGGAGGGGGCTGTGTCAACACTAAGGGAGGCAGACATAAGTTTTTTCTTACCATAAAGTCAAAACAAAAGCTCACTTTTTGGAAAGAGCAGGGGAAAGCTGAGCTTAGGGAGAGAGTAATATACCAAGTAGGCCACCTGGGAGTACATGTATGTTGGACCATGAACACCTATGGTCAATACATGTCCTGTATTTCCATGTGTATGTATGTTTCCCGTGATTGTCTCTGTGCATTTTGTATACTCCATTTTTCCAGGATGTCTGCATGTGTATCCTATGCACATCCCAGGCCCCAGGTGTGTGCATGTATCTCAGAAAATGAACAAATAGGCTGGGGATATAGCTCGGTTGGTACAGTTCTTGCCTCTGATGCACAACGCCCTGGGTTCAATCCCCAGCACCACCAAAGAGAAAAGAAAGAATATGGACAACCATAAATCCCAGCCTCCATACCTCAGAAAGTGAAGTCCCTTGGCCCTAAAACAGAAGAGGCCCGGAGTCTGAAACCATAGGATTCTGCAGTTCGGAGGAGCCCCAAAGCAGCATAAGACCATGAAAAATATCCCTTTCCCCAGTAGACATAAGCAAAACTACTTATTTATCAGATGATCTCCTTAGATTATACCTGGGTCCCATGTCTAGCTCCCCAGGGTCATGCTCACATACAGCCTTCCCAAAGGATCCCTTAATTGGCTGAGGAATTCATAAAATCATCCATTTGTTCATTTATCATTTATTTAATATTTATTCATTGACCACCTGCCATGCTTCATGCACAGCACTAGACATATTTTGTTTCTCCTTTAAACTTCCATATTTAATTTTTTTTATGCCATGGATTGAACCCAGGGGCACATAACCACTGACCCACATCCTCAGCCCTTTTTATTTATTTTTTTTATTTTGAGACGGTGTCTCACTAAGTTGCTGAGACTGGCTTTAAATCTGCAATCCTCCTGCCTCAGCCTCCTGAGCCACTAGGATTATAGATATGCACCACCACACCTAGCTTAATTTTTAAATTTTTTTTACAGTTCTAAGGAATGAACCCAGAGATTCTCTACTAATGAGTTACATCCCTAGCACTTTTCTATTTTTAATTAATTTGTTCATTTTTAATTAATTAATTAATTTATTTATTTATTTTGTGGTGCTAGGGATTGAACCCAGGGCTTTGTGCATGTGAGGCAGGCACTCTACCAACTGACTACATCCCCAGCCCTTATTTTTTTAATTTTGAGATGAGTCTCACTAAGTTGTTCAGGCTGGCCTCAGAGTATAGATCCTCCTGCCTCAGCCTCCCTAGTCAGTGGGAGTATAGGCATGTGACACCATGCCCAGCTCTCCTTTAAACTTCTTATGAAGTAATTCATGAAATGGGAAAGTTAATAATAACTGCAAAGAGTCTGGAAAGCTGGTTAAAGTGTTTTAAGTTTTTATCCTAAAGATGGGCCATGGTAGCCTCAGGAGACATTAAAGTAGGGAGGTGACATGGTCCAGTCACTCTTGTTGCTGAAAGGAGTTGAACTTGCATCAGAATAAATATGAATAAAGTCAGGACATCAAGGGCTGTTGCAATGGCCTATGCATTGACCCTCAAACTTTAGTGAGCTCTGAATTACTCTTAAGAATTGATTAAGGGCTGGGGATGTGGCTAAAGTGGTAGCGCGCTTGCCTGGCATGCGTGCAGCCTGGGTTCGATCCTTAGCACCACATACAAACAAAGATGTTGTGTCCGCCGAGAACTAAAAAATAAATATTAAAAAAATTCTCTCTCTCTCTCTCTAAAAAAAAAAAAAAAAAAAAAAAAAGAATTGATTAAAACAGATTTCTGGGCTCTACCCCCAGAATTGCTGATTTAATAGATCTGGGGTGGAGTCCAAGAGCTGGCACTTTCAACAAGTTCTCAAATGTTGTTGGTGATGCCAGTCCAGGGACCACACTTTGAGAACTAGAGGTCTATGAGGAAGAGTTAAGTAGCCTCAGGAGCTGCGAGAATGATGCCATAGACCTTCTAGGAAATCCACCTCAAGTCTCCTCCATAAACATCCACGGGTAGATATTTAAGGGTTAGAAATGGTGACACTCCTTGAAGGATTGGCTTGTGGAGTTTCCCAGATTCTTCTGAGATGACTGGCAAGTTTTTAAGTTGAAGGACGATTGTGTCATTTATGGAACTTAGAAATCAGGAAAAGCAGGTTGGGGTTGGTGGTGGGGGTGGAGGAGATATCTGTCTTGGAAACTCAAATGGATGCAAGGAAATGTCTGAGGGGACCTCCAGCTGGCACTTGAATGTGTAGTTTTGGATCTCTAGTGAGATCTACAGACTGGAAATAACATGGTCCGGGAAATAACAGCAGACACAGAGTCATTAGAGACTTGAGGGGGTAAACTCACTCATGAAGATAAGAAAAGGCAGCAACTGCTCTGAGAATGGAAAGCTGACATTAAAGTTGGGGGTGAAAAGGGAGGAGACACAAGGACAGAAATGGTCATAGTAGGAGAATGAGGTAAGAAGTGGGGGATGGTGAAACTGCAGGTAATTAGGGTGAAGAAACCCAGGGAAGCCACCAATAGGCAGCTCATCCTGTCCGTCTGGCCTTCTCAAGCCTGTTGGAGAGAGCAATGGGATCTCCAGAGCTGGGCATGGACACTGACCCCCTTGCTGCTCCTGGACTTCTGAAGGCGTCTACTATAGTACTTGTTACACACTAGTGTCTCTCCTAGAGTTTGACTTCTGAGGTCCTTGTGGCTAAGGTTTAGGGTAGGAGAGGGGAGTTTCCACAGACTCACATACCCACAGGTATAAATACACACACAACTCACTCCTCACCTCTCATGTGTCCTGAGCAGGAAGCCTGCAGAGCTGCCCATTTCTGTTTCATTCACCTAGCTGCTGGCTCCAGACTCTGGGAAGTTCTTAGTGATGAATCCTTGGTTGCTAGACTCCTTTCCCTAAAGTCCCTCAAGCTGAGATGACCCAGTCTAAGCTCTGCACCTGTCATGTGTCTTCTGAGATACTCACCTAGTACCATACATTCCATGAGTTAATGATGTCCCCTTTTCCTCTACTTCATCTCAATTTTGTTACCTTTACTTTCTTATGTACTACTTCACTAAACAGAGATCAAAGAAAACAACTAGTCCTTTCCACCCAATCCTATTTTATTGTTGTTGTTGCAGAAACTGAGATCAAAGAGGAGAAGAGACTTGCCTGGGATCACACAGTCACTTAGAGGCAAGATTAAATTGTAAGCCCCTGAGTCTAAGGCAGTATAAAACAGTGATCCTGAGCACCCAGAGAGGCCAGAGGGGGATGACCCCAGCACTGCCACTTAACTAGCTGCTTGACCTGGGGCATGTCATTTCAACTCTTACTGCCTTACCTCATTCTTCACCTGCATATGGATCTCAAAAGGCTATGGTGAGGGCTGGGGCTGTAGCTCAGGGGCATAGCGCTTGCCTAGCATGTGTGAGGCACTGGGTTCAATCCTCAGCATCACATAAAAAATAAATAAAATAAAAGTATGCTGTCCATCTACAACACACACACACACACACACACATACACACACACACACAGACCACGGTGAGGGTTAAATAACTTAATATTCATAAAATACTTAGCACAGAGGCTGGCATACGCTGTAGTAAATCTTTACTGTTATTATTTATACTATGCCCTGTGCATCTTCTTGCTTTTTAAAATATGTACCTTCTTAGGAGGTTTTTCAAAAAATTAGGAATGGAAGCCTGGCACAGTGGCACACACCTATGATCCCAGCAGCTCAGGAGACTGAGGCAGGAGGATTGCAAGTTCAAAGCCAGCCTCAGCAATTTAACAAGACCCTAAGTAACTTAAAGAGACCCTGTCTTAAATCAAAAAAATAAAAAAGGGCTGGGGATGTAGCTCAGTAGTTAAGCACCCCTGGGTTCAATCCCTGATTAAAAAAAAAAAAAAAACAACCTAGGAATGGAACCACCATATGACCCAGTTATACCATTCCTCAGTGTTTATCCTAAAGAATTTAAGTCATCAAACTGGACATGGTGGAGCATGCCTGTAATCCCAACAACTCAGGAGGCTGAGGCAGGAGGAGTGCAAGTTTGAGGTCAGCTTTAGCAACTTAGCAAGGCCCCACACACTTAGTGAAACCCTGTCTCAAAATAAAAAATAAAAAGGGTTTGGGAAGTAGCTCAGTGGTAAAGTGCTCCTGAGTTCAATTCCCAGAACAAAAAAATAAGTCATCAACAGGCTGGGGTTGCATAGCTCAGTGGTAAAGCACTTGCCTAGCATGTGTGAGGCACTGAGTTCAATCCTCAGCACCACATAAAAAGAAATAAAATAAAGGTATTGTGTCCATGTACAACCAAAAAAATATTTTAAAAATAAGTCATCATACTATAACAATACATGCATACCCATATTTATAGCAGCACAATTCACAATAGCCAAACTATGGAACCAACCCAGGTGTCCATCAATGGATAAATGGATAAAGAAAATATGGCATATATACACCATAGAGTTTTATTCAACTATGTAAAGAAAAATGAAATTATGCTATCTGCAGGAAAATGGATAGACTTAAGAACCTTATGTTAAGCGAAATAAGCCAAACTCAGAAGATCAATGATCGTATGTTCTCTCTTATATGTAGAAGTTAGAGGGGAGAGCTGGGGTCATGGCTCATTGGTAAAGCACTTGCGTAACACAGGCACTGGTTCGATCCTTAGCACTATATAAAAAATAAAAATAAAAAAAGGAGTTAGAGAGAAAAAGGAAAAGAAAGGTGAGGGGGGGAATCTCAAGAAAATCTAAAGGAGATCAGTAGAGTAACAGGACCAGGGGAAGGAAGGAGGGAAGGGAAAAGGGAAATATTATAGAATGATATTGGCCAAATTATAGTGTTATATGATGAGCATGTACAAATATGTAACAACAAATCCCACCATTATGTGCAACAATAAAGCACTAATAAAAATATGGAAAAATAAAATATCTTCCTTCTTTTTTCTTAATGCCCATTATCCTTAGCATTCCTCTTATTTGCCTTAATTTAACCCCTGTCTGTGCTTCTCAGGAGGGAAAGGTTGAGTTTTAGAAGGGAAAAGGAGGGATTGACTATAGAGATTGAAACATGCTTGACAGCCAGCCAGTGCCTGCCATGATAACACACAAACACACAGCCTATGCATGTTAGTATTGCACCCTGTCCACGTGAGTCAGTTACACACAGATTCATTCTACAGCATCTAGATGTCACAGGCCCACACTCAGCCCAGTTTCCTATGGCTTCAAAAACATCTTAGTTCCTTCTCATGTGCAGTTAACACCAAAACCCAACACAAGCAACTCTCTCTGGCCAGTTTGTGTCTTCAAATTCCTCAGACCATAGTTTGGCATTAGGGATACTAATGCAGGAAGCCTGAGTGAAGTGGTCACCTTCAGAGGAGTATTGACCCAGAGTCACTCAAGACAGAGGGACTCCCCATATAGATGCACATAGACACGTGTGTACATGAGCTTAAGTTTGCAGCTCACAAACTTCTTCCACATTCACAGTCATCCACCTCATCCAAAGTTGGGTGAAGTGGTTAAAGATTAAATCAATCCTGCTCTGATGCTGAATGCCCTTAACTGTCCACACCCCACCCAATAGAGAACAAGGACTTTGGGTTACTTTCCCCAACTTCACCCCTTTTCAGCAGGAAGCCGTTTGGAGATGTCATCACCCATTTTTCCATGGAAATGGAATGTAGAAATTGACAATAGGGAAGTGTAACAGTAGTCCACTTTAAATATAACACTTGCTTTGAATATAATGCTGCTCTGCCACTGCAACTTATTTTTTTAAATGGACATGTTTCTTTCTCTTCCTCTCTCCCTGCTCCTCCCTAATCTCTGGCCCTCCCTAATCTCAGGGAAAACAGTATTACCACATGAATAAAGTAACCCAGACTTTGGGAATGGTACCAGAAGATCTCAGAAATGACAACCTCCCAAATTGAGGAACTCTAGGTAGGCCAGAGGGAGGAGGCAGGGGGTTAGCAATGATGGAGGAATGCGATGACATCTTTAGCCAAAGTACATGTATGAAGACATGAATTGGTGTGAACATACTTTATATATAAACAGAGATATGAAAATTTGTTCTATATGCGTAATAAGAATTGTGATGCATTCCACTGTCATGTATTTAAAAAATAAAACCAGTTTTAAAAAAATGACAGGGCTGGGATTGTGTCTCAGTGGCAGAGCACTTGCCTAGCATGTGTGAGGCACCAGGTTCGATCTTCAGCACCACATATAAATAAGCAAAAAATAAAGGTACATCAACAACTAAAAAAAAAAAAAATGACAACCTCCCAAATTAACAAGTGAATTACAACTCCAGGCAGAGAATACATGGAATGTAGCCTTTGAATCACCTGTTTAAAAGCCCCCTGTTCCTGCTGGTGGGCAGAATCACAGGCTTTAGGACAGGAGTCCCCTCTGTTTCTCCTTGGCTAGCAAAGCAATAAATCTTTTCCTTTTTCTCAAAAAAATTTAAATCAATCGCTCTTTTTTTCCCCCTAAAACTCAACCTTCCCTTCCTGAGAAATGATGCGCACTTTACAGAGGAGGAAGCTGAGACCAGTAAAGAGTTGTGCTTTGAGCAAAGGTGAAGATGCCAGAGAGCTAAGCAAATTCAGGGCCTCTTTGTCCCAGCCTAGAACCCCCTGTTTCACTGCAGTTGTGAGAGCTTCGAACCCAGAATGCAGCTTAGATCAGCAGGGGTCGAATTCACTCTCTGCTACCCACCCAGCCGGATCACACCAAAGCCACGCCCTCCTTTGGGCGACCGCTAGGGAAAAAGGAGAGAAAGGCCATCGCTTGTCTCTTTAATGCGCGCCCCCGAGGCTTGGCGCGCCCCCGCCACTATAACTGGAGTGCATGGAGCAGGCTGCTCTCAGAGGGAGTGGGGCAGGCGCTGGGTACCCGTTGACCGACTTTTCCAAGTGCCATCAGAGGCCAGTCCTTTCCGCTTCCTTGGACCAGCCTCAGGGTGCTCACAGCTGAGGACTTTACACAGGCTGGGCTCTGGGCTGGGTGGTACCCAGGTGCCGCGCCGTGACCCTAGCCGGCTGTGTCCGCTTCCCGCCCCTCTTCCCGCAGCGCTCGCCGTCGGGCGAGAGCTCTGCAGCCGCTACGTCTCACACCCCGCACTACCCGCCTCATGCTGGTGCACACTTACTCCGCCATGGTGAGTAGTCTCAGGTCCCGCCGCACCAGGCACCCTTGGCCGGAGAATCGAGGAGCCCGCGTGCTGCATCTTCCAAACCTCCTGCCCTTGCGCCAACGAAATCTCGGAGGGAGGGAGCTTAGAGGGAGGTGGGTAGGTAGCCTCAGCCTGAGGCTCCTGCGCCCGCGCCCGCGGGTCATTCGGTGATAGACACTGGGCCCGAGGAAGAGGATCGGACGGCAGCTGGATCCTCCGGAGCCAAGAAGGATCCTTTCTGGCTGGGGTCCTTTCAGCTGCCCGTGGGTCACCTAGCTCGCCCTTTCCTTCCCAGGAGCGCCCCGACGGGCTCGGCGCAGCGGCTGGCGGGGCCCGTCTGTCGTCTCTGTCCCAGGCAGCCTACGGACCGGCGCCACAGCTCTGCCACACGCCGGCGGCCGCAGCTGCCGCCGACTTCCAGCCGCCCTACTTCCCGCCGCCCTACCCGCAGCCGCCACTGCCCTACGGCCAGGCGCCCGACGCCGCCGCCGCCTTTCCCCACCTGGCCGGGGACCCATACGGCGGCCTGACGCCCCTGGCGCAGCCACAACCTCCGCAGGCTGCCTGGGCCGCGCCCCGCACTGCCGCCCGCGCCCACGACGAGCCGCCCGGCTTGCTGGCGCCGCCCGCCCGCGCTCTGAGTCTCGACCCGCGCCGTGAGTACGCCGCCGCAGTGCCCCGGCTACTGCACAGCCTGGCCGACGGTGCGCACGGCCTAGCTGAGGCGCCCCTGGGCCTTCCCGGGCTGGCGGCGCCACCTGGCCTGGAAGATCTGCAGGTGAGACTCGAGGGGTCTGGGATGGCTGCCCACCTCCCCTCGCTCCCTCTGGCTGCGGCGATTTAGCAACCTGGCTGGAGGTTAAAAGTGACAAATGTAGGGACATAACTTTTCTCCCAGTCCTCCCACTCGAGACTCCAAGATACATCCCACGTCCTGGTTTAGAAACTGCCCGCAGTTTAAAGGTAGCCTGGCACTTTGTCAATGCGTGGTGCCTGCGCAATGGCACACTCTTTCTTCGGGTGTGCCATTGAGCCACGTTGGGCATCCATTCCCCTCTGATGGGCCGTCTTCTGGGGCATCCTGCTCCTGGAGCGAAGGGAGGCGCAGTAGTCGCTTGTCTAAGCCACGGTGAGTACCCAGGATTCCACCTTGGCGCCAGGTAGATAGTGCGAGCCACCGCTATCCCTGTCCCGCCCGTCGCCCACTCGGGCGGCTGTGCTGCACGCAGGGCTGAGCGGACAGAGATAGGGGCAGCAGGGGCTTGGGAAGCAACAGACGACTAGATTTACTCACGCCCTCACTGCCACCTTCACCTACTTGCAGGCCATGGATGAGCCGGGAATGAACCTCCTGGACCAGTCTGTGATAAAGAAAGGTAAGGAATGGCGTGTAACTGCCAGGGCAGAGCCAGGCGAGATAGTGCAGGCCCAGGGAGCACAGACCCATTTTCTTCACTGCCGCCAGTGCCTCATGTGCGTCACCAGGCTCGGTGGCCTCTGAACATTCTTCACGAACCCTTAGAGGGACAGCGAAGGCTGCGAGCCTGGCTAGATGCTGGGCAGTAGAGCCGGGGTCTGTGATTTTGTCCTGAAACCTGCCGCCTGCGGTGGCCTGAGCTGGGTCCGCTCCCTTGGCTGTGACTCCTGGGCCTGGCCTTCCCTCGCCAAGGGGAGGGCGCTCTTGTGGATCTGGAGTTAATTTGCAGAACGAGTTAAACCACTTCCCTATTTCCTAAGAGGTGGGAATGGGAGTGTTGTTCCACAGATTTTTGTGGATGATTTCCACTTTACAGAGCGTTAGCATTTTGGAGCTTAGCAGTGGCTCTCCTACCCTTCCTTCCCTGAAGAGCCTTGAGGCCCTGTCAGTTTTCTGCTAGGGAATTTTCTTTCAGCAGGAGCTTCCTGCAGCTAGTAGGCTTAGAAGAACTGAATATTGTTGTATTAGGCTGTATGTTTGTGGGTCAGGGCCTGCGTACTCCTGGATGTCCCTGTCTCTGTTAGAGTTCAAAGTCCTGTACCTGTCCACATGTTCCTTTCCCAGGTGTCGGATATTTCTTGGTATGTCTTTGTTAGTGTGAGTGTATTTGTAATTTGCATCTTTGTACTTTGGGGTACATTTCTGTTTGGAGTTCTCAGTGTATGTGTCAGGATCTCTGTTGTGTCTTGGAATTTATCCTTTGGTATCTGATAATTTCTAGACATGTGAGATTCCCTTCCTGTAAATTTTCCAGGTGTCCTTTTGCATTAGTAAAATCAGGGGTATGAGACACAACCTTGAATGGCTTTTGGGGCCTGAGGACCAAGTGAGTGAGTGAACCTAGGTTACCTGTCCTTGAACCTGGGTGGGGGCCAGGAACTGGGGAATTTCAAGGATGATCCTATCTCCCGAGAACAGTGGACCAAGTATAATGGAAGACTCTTGGAGATAGTACCTTCTATCAGGACAGGAGCTGTCCACTAAGCCAACAAAGCCCTGCTAGTTGAGCTGGGTGGGGTGCACAGTGTAGTTGCTGGGGTCTCCTCACAACCTCAGCTATTGGTGACATCCCAATTCCTGGAGCTCCCCACCGGCAAGTTCTGGGAAGCCTGTCCTGAGGAAGGGTAAAACAATCTGCTTTTACTCAAAGTACCTTAATCCTGAATTATAGCTAGGAACCAGAGCTGGTTTCTTTCAAAGGACATCAGGTTCCAAAACTCTTGAATCTTAGATGCGCCCCGAAGGCAGTCCCAGGGACACAGTGAGTGTCTGGGCTCTGCGAGCTGGCTTGATGGAGCCAGCAGGAGGCACGGACGTGAGTTCGCACACCTGGTGGATGGCAGTGCCAGATCTCAGGTGGCCTAGCGGAGCGAGGTGGAAAGCCGGTAACCTAAGCGGGGAACCTGAGTTACAGCCCAAGGCGCTGCAGCAAAACAGGAATAAAGGGGCCAGGGCCCCGAGCGCTCGGCGGGAGGAAGTGCTTCGTCCTTGCGCCGAGAATTAGCCAATCGGCCTCCAGGCAGACGTTTGGGGAGTAGAGAGTCGGTGCCTGAGCTTGCGGTCCTCGCAAAAGCCAAAGTACTGCTGGCTCCCGCGGTGTCCACCTAGAGCAGCCGCTGTGCCGACGATGGCCCACCTTCAGTCCTGCACCCAGGAGCCTCGTCACCCCCCGCGCAGCGGGCAGTTTGCCCTGGTCCTCAGCGATCGCTGCGGGACCCGGCCTCACCTCTAGCCCCGCGGGTCTCCAACTATGCAATGGGTTAGCGCCTTTCTTCGTCTTCGGACCCTTCGGAGAGCACTGGAAGTCCCTGTTGTTTCCTTGGGAGCTCCAGCGCCCGCCGGGTGCGATGAGGGACCCCACTCTGCCCGGGGGCCTTAATTATAGAAAGTTACTCTTGGCCACCTGGACTCTTCCAGGTCCTCCAGCCTTGGCTAGAGGGGCGGCTGCGTTACAAAGGGTTAGGGTCCTGCGTAAGAAACCCGGGTCGCCCCAGCCCACAGCAGACAGATCCTTGGGCCTCCATCTCACCTGTGCCACCCGGGTGCGAGCCTGGAAGCCCTAGGGGCCCAGCCCGGGATTATGCAATCTTGGCAGATTCCAGGCACTTGCCCTGGAGAGGAGGGCCGGCGACGCGCAGACCCACCACACACTTCCACGTCTGCCCCTTGCAGCCACAACTTGGGTTTGGGGGTGGCAGACTGGATTAAGGCCTAACAGAGGGGAAGTTGGGAGCCCTCCATTTTCTGCGCACAGTTGTCACCTCCAGTTTTGCAACCGGTCCCAGAGAAACAGAAAGCAGGCGGTAATGGCAGGGGAAAGAGCTGCGCAGAAATATTTTCCAGTCAAGAAAGGCGGGGTGGGTGGGTAAGGGTGTCTGTACAAGACACCATAGGAACTCACAGGACAATGAGCCGAGCCAGCCGCAAAGCGCCTGAGGTCAGGAGGCTTCCTAGAAGAGAGATTTTAGCCAGGTGCAGTGGGTGGGTGCTCAGTGGGTACTAGGTGATGGGATTTTAAGTCTGAGTACATTGGGAGAGGGAGTATGGAAAGAGCCGATCTACTTTTACGGCACTGGGTAAAAAGCATGTGCAAATGCCCTTTCTGTGGGAAAACCAGATAGGATAAAAAGAGTCAAAGTTCCTGTAGGTTTCATGTTATACAGTCACAGCTGGAGGGGCGTGGTTTAGAGTTAAGAATTGAATTGCATCCCTCCTTCTCTCCCAAAAGAGAGTGGGTGATTGCCCCCTTGGAAAGCAGGAGAATCAATTGTTCAGTCTCAGGGGGTCTCCCCTACAGTGGCTGATGTCACTAGCTCCTCTGCCTTCTTGGGCTCTGGGAAGGTTCTGAAAGTTAAGGAGTGAGGCACTCACCGCATGAATCAAGATAATAACAAACATAATATCAAAATCTTACACAAAGACAGAATCTAACCCTGCACTTCCATAACCCTTCCTTACTTGCCTCCCAGGCTGCTGTCTGCTCTAGAAAAAAAACAGTGGCAATGCAGATAGTTTGGACTTAACCTGAGGACAGCGGGAGCCATGGAAGAGTGTGAAGAAGGGGGGAGAAGGGATGAGAGTATGTTTAAAAGAAATCCTCTTGCAGTTGTTGAGAAGGAAACTTAACCAGCAGGTCCTACTGGGGTAGAGGAGACACAAGAAGGCTGAGGGGAAGGGTCACTGCCCCTCCTGTTTGCCTTTCTCCTGCTGCAGCCACACACTCAAGGCTTTGGACTCCTGGGACCCTAAGTGTGAACTACAGAAGCAAAGGCATCAAGATCCCCTGGTGGTGCTGGCTAAAAATGTAGTTCTGGCTAGGCCCTGTGCACTCGCCTATAATCCCAGCAGCTCCAGAGGCTGAGGCAGGAGGATCTCAGGTTCAAAGCCAGCCTCAGCAATTTATTGAGACCCTAAGCAACTTAGCAAGTCTCTCTGTCTCAAAACAAAAAATAAAAAGGGCCTGGGATGTGACTCAGTGGTTAAGCACTCCAGGGTTCAATCCCTGGTGCAAAAAAAAAAAAAATCTGTTTGGGGGGGGGGGCCTGAGGTTGTGACTCAGTGATAGAGCACTTGCCTAGCATGCTTGAGGCACTGGGTTCAATCCCTGGAACCACATAAAAATAAAATAAAGGTATTTCGTCCATTTGCAACTGAAAAAAAAAAAAAAGGCTGTTTCTGGGCACCTCCCCACATCTGAATAAGAATCCCTAAAGTATGGTCCTAGAACTTGCACTTTAACTGATTGATTGAGGAAACATTTACATAGCTAAAATTCATTTGTTGTATGAATATTATTTACTTTTAGTAAAATGTACAGAGTTGTATAACCGTTAGCACAATCTATTTTGAGACATTTGTCACCCCTCAAAATTTCTTCATTCCCATTTGTAGTTAATCTTTATTCTCCCGCCAAGCCTTAGGCAATCACTGATCTGTCTGTAAATTTGCATATTCTGAACATGTTGTATAAATAGAATAGATTATATGCAGACTTTTCCAGTTCTAGCTTCTTTTACTTAGCATTGTGTTTTTGAGGCTCATCCTTGTAACATATATTAGTAACTTTTCTTCTTTTCATTGCTGAGTAGTATTCTACTATATGTAACACACTTTTGGGGGGTCAGAGGTTGGGGAATTGAACCCAGAGTGCTGCTATAACACTGAGTTACATTCCCAGCCCTTTTAATGTTTCATTAAGTAATTTTCAGTTACTTAAGGCCTCACTAAGTTGCTCAGGCTGACTTGAATTTGCAATCCTCTTGCCTCAGCCTCCTGAGTCCCTGGGATTTTAGGTGTGCACCACCAACCACATCCAGCAACATATTTTATTTAACCATTGGTCACTTGATGAGCACTTGAGTTGTTTCCACTTTTTGGCAATTAGGAATTGCTGTAGACATTCATATACTTGACTTTGGGTAGACCTGTGTTCATTGCTGTTGGGAAAATTCCTGGATATGAAATCTTTGGACTATATGGTAAATATATGTTTAATTTTAAAGAAACTGCCAAGCTGTTTTCTATTTTATTTTGATTTCTTTCTTTCTTTATTTTTGATGCTGGGATTGAACCCAGGGGCGCTTTAGCACTGAGCTATGTCCCAGCCCTTTTGTGTGTGTGTGTGGTTCTGGGGACTGAATCCAGAGCCTTGTGCATATGAGACAAGCACTCTACCAACTGGGCTCTATTCCCAGCCCTGTCCCAACCCTTTTAAAGTTCTTACTAAGTTGCTTAGGGCCTCATTGAGTTGCTGAGGCAGGCTTTGAACTTTCATTCCTCCTGCCTCAGCCTCCCAAGTCACTAGGATTACAGGTGTGTGCCACCATACCTGGCCCAAGCTGTTTTCTTTTTTTAATTTATTTTTTAGTTTTAGGTGGGCACAATATCTTTATTTTACTTTATGTGGTGCTGAGAATCGAACCCAGGGCCTCACGCACGCTAGGCAAGAGCGCCACAACTTGAGCCACATCCCCAGCCCCCCAAGCTGTTTTCTAAAACAGCTTTACTGGCTTTGTGGCTTTACTGGCTGGGTAAGGTGTAATCCCAGTGACTGGGGAGGCTGAGGCAGGAGGATCACAAGTTCAAAGCCAGCTTCAGCAACTTAGCACGACCCTGTCTCTAAACAAAATATAAAAAGGACTGGGGATGTGGCTCAGTGTTTAAGTGTCCCTGGTTCAATCCTGGGTACCAAAAAATAAAAAATAAAAATAAATGAAGTAGCTTTACTAAGTTTTTATATTCTTACCAGCAATACAAGAGGGTTCTAGTTTCTGCACACCCTCAAATACATTTGATATTGTATGTCTTTTGTTATAACCATCTAGTGGTATCTTAATAAAGTCCTAATTTCTCTCTCTTGAGGACTGTACCACCCAGGGGCACTCTACCACTGAGCACATTATGTCCCCAGTCATATATATATATATATTTGAATTTTGAGACAGGGTCTCACTAAATTGCTAAGGCTGGCCTCAAACTTGTGATCTTCTGTCTCAGCCTCCCAGGGAGTTGGGATTACAGACTTTCACCACCATGCCTAATTTGCATTTTTCTAATGACTAATTTTGTTGAGCCCTTTTTCTTGTGTTTATTAGTCATTCATCTATCATATTTGATGAAATGTCTTCACATATTTTGTTGTTTTCTAACTAGGTTGTTATCTTGTTGAGATAAGAGGGCTCTTTTTTATATGTTCTGAACACACATCTTTTATCAGATTTATATGATTTGCAAGCATTTTTTTCTAGCCTGATACCTCATCTATTTATTTTCCTTTTTTAAAAAATATTTTTTAGTTACACTTGGACACAATGTCTTTGTTTTGTTTATTTATTTTTATGTGGTGCTGAGGATCGAATCCAGTGCCTCACACATGAGAGCAAGCAGTCCACCACTGTGTTACAGTGGTTTATTTTCTTAATAGCATCCTTTGAGGGACAAAAATTTTGAATTTTTAAAAAAAATATGTTTAGTTGTGATGAACACTATATCTTTATTTTCTTTATTTATTTCTATGTGGTGCTGAGGATTGAACCCAGTGCCTCACGTGTGCTAGGCAAAAAGTACTCTACCACTGAGCCACCACCCAGCCCCCCAAATTTTGAATTTGGACAAAATCCAATTTATAGTTATTTGCTTTTATGGGTCATGCTTTTGGTGTTATAACTATGTTCCCAACCCAAGGTCATGAAGATTTTTCTCCTCTGTTTTGTTCTAGAAGGAATTGCAATTTTAACAAGCTTTCTGAGAGTCTGTTGCATACCCCCAGATTTAGTAGCCAGACTGTATCTACCACCTGTGGATAGAGTGTGACTTGGGTATGTGAGTTGAATAACTGAGAGCTCTTGCATCAGCTCTGAGCCTTGGGAGTACATGAATGGCTTCTGCCTGTGTGACCAGGGGCACACCACGGGCAGACCATCTCAGCTTCAGGAATCACTGTGGTGGGAACTGTCCTGTGGGTGTGGGAGACCACCAATGTCCCTGCTCTGCAGTCTGGGCTAGTTTAATTCCCCGCTACATGATGGCCCCCTCCCCAGCTTCCCTAATCTTGAACTCCATCCCTCTTGCTGTTTTTGAGGAAAGAGGTTCTGAAGGAAAAGGGACAGGTAGGGGAAACAGCAAGGTCTGTTATTCATAGACACATATGTCCCTTGCCATTTCACACACATGGCTGCACCTAGTTTGCATAAATATACCATTGACAGGATAAGGCACTTGTGTGTGTCCATATGCATGTGGTCACCCTCAAGGAGGGCAGAGACTGTGTCTGTATACAGAGCTGTGGCTGAGTATTGAGTGTATGTACACATGGACAATCTCATCCTCATTGCTCTATGACAAGGGCAAATAATTTTGTGTATGGTCACTTCTGGGACACACACCCATATTTGCACATGCACAAACAGCTTCACAAAGCCTTGGTCTCTCTCCCCTGTCACTGGCCTGGCCTCAGGGGATTCCAGTTTTAATAACAATTGGATGGAAGAGAGAAAAAATTTTGTTTCTCTGATCCCTCCCTCTGACTAGGAGAGATGGGAGGAAGGACAGTCACTTTGTCCTTTTTATTGCTAATTGATCAATTTGTAGGTTTATTTTTTTAAATACAGTGCAGTTGGGGCTGGGGATGTGGCTCAAGCGGTAGCACGCTCGCCTGGCATGGGTGCGGCCCGGGTTCGATCCTCAGCACCACATACAAACAAAGATGTTGTGTCCGCTGAGAACTAAAAAATAAATATTAAAAAAAAAAAATAAATACAGTGCAGTTGGCCCTTTCGAAATGTCTATTTCTGTGAGTTTTGACAAATATATATATGTAGTCATGAAACCACTAAAACAATCCAGCTATAGAATAGTTCTATCGTCCCAAGTCCCCTCAAGGCAGAGGGGCACAGGTGAAGAGGGACCTAGGGATAAGCATTCTCATGCACACATGAGCAGGTCTGGGAGTTTACATATGTGGCTCATAATATATTTCTACTGGTCAATGTGAATCTAGGGCCTGGAGGACAAATGGGGACCAGGCAAGACCAGTAGGCAGGAGCCAAAACACCAAGAAGGGTGAAGGAGGCCACTGTAGCATCGTGGTCAAGGACATGAGCTTTGGAGTTGGGAGACAGAGTGAGTTCTGCTCCTTCCTTGCTGTGCCATTTTAACCTCTTTGAACTTTCCATTTCTTCCTTTTGACATGGGATATGGACATCAGCTCTTCTCCTCAGAGCTGTTCATGTACAGCATATGGTATATAGTTGGTCCTCATTGACAGCAGGTGACATCATTCTGCACAGCTGTGGAGTTGGGGATTGATCCTCAGGGAACTGTCCAGCCATTGATAGGCTTAAGGCTGTGAAGTGATGCATGACTTAGAAAGATCCCTCTGCAACAGAGCAGGGGCACCACAGAAGACCTGTGATGAAATTCAGGTGGGAAGTGAGCAAGTGTCTGTCTGTGCATAAAAGAGGCAGCGTCCCAGGCAAGTTAGGATGCGGACACTGTAGGACATGGTGTAGATGGGCATGTGGGCCAGAGAAATGCGGAGGGTGTCTGGCTGGGCAGCTGGGTGGAAGATGGGGATATCATCCAGGAAGGGTGGAGGGTGGGGCTCTGCCACGCTAGGCAGAATTAGCTAATTCTAAGCTAACTGGGTTAGCCTTGTTTACCTCTGTATTCCCAAGATGTAGCATGGTTCTTATCACACACGTGATCAGCCATTTGGTGGAAAGGCTCAGGGCACTGCTTTTGAGACCACGATGGGTTGGCTTTTGGTTCTCATTTTACCAGCTAAGTGATCTGTGGCTCACTGACTTCACCTTTCTGGGCTTTAGCCTCCTCCTCTGTAGAATGGGAGTAAGGGTAGCTCCCTTGTGGGTTGTTCTAAGGGCTCAGGGGGGTTATCTATGTGAACACACAGCATAGTGTGTGCTCAGTAATTATTAACCTCAGACTCCTCACTTGATTCCTACTGCCAACACACACACACACACACACACACACACAGCCTTGTCTTTTGAAGCTCTCAGTTCCTTGAAAGAACAGAAACCTAAGGGGTTCCTCTGAAGAAGCAAGTGCCTCAATATTCTCCCCTCTCCCTGCAGTTAAGCAGGAAGATGGAGGTTAGACTTTGGGAAGAACTTTCTTTTAGAGCCAAGAGTATCTGAGTTTTAGAAAATTAATCCATTAATCTCTAAGTTTTAAATTCCATTAATATTTCAACAAAATTGACACAGTTATATTAAAATATGTTGGGAGTCATGATTTAGATCTTATACTTTATTAATATTATTAATATTATTAATAATATTAATAATCTTATACCTTGTTAATATTAATTAGTATTATTATAATTATTAAATTACATATAATTATATTTTTATTATTACATAACTATATTATGCCGTGTGATTGTATTACATATTACATTTAATTATTTATTTATTTTTGTTTTGGTACTGGGGATTGAACTCAGAGGAGCTTTACCACTGAGCCACATCCCCAGACCTTTTTATTTTTTCTTTTGAGTCTCACCAAATTGCTTAGGGTTTTTGCTGAGGCTGGCTTTGAACTTGTAATCCTCCTGCCTCATCCTCCTGAGTTGCTGGGATTACAGGTGTGGAACTGTAAGTGGTGACTACTTGGCTATTTTTAACGTTTTTATAGGTGTTCCACATCTGGTACAATTCGGCAAAATGGATTAACTATTGTTTCCCTTCCCTGCCTTTCATAAATAATTAAGAAGTATCCAAGCAAGGGCACTTTTGGGTTTATTTTTTTATTCATTTCCTACAGCATCCCAGAGTGACCTAACAGGAAGGGGAACAGGGCTGGAAGCTTAATAGGTCTATAATCTCCTGGTCCCAGGATGGGGGCAGTCTGAAGCTTCCAACCCCCTCATTGATCTCAGGAGGTGGGAATGTATTAAAGACTCTCGGTGATTGCTCAGACAGGATGACCCTGTTGTGGTGACCCAGGAATCCTGCCTCCAGCTCAGACTCCATTTCCTCACATCCAGCTCCTTCTCTGATGGCACCCACCAAAAACTAGCAATATGTTGAAGCTGAGTTTAAAGAGGGAACCATGCTGGGGACTTTAGAGGACATGGGTTCAACAGCCAGACAGCTGTGGGTCCAGGTACACACCTGTTAGCTGAGTGGACTTGGTGTATCACTTTAACCTCAGTGTGCCTCAGTTTCTCCCTTTGTAAAGCAGGGATACTGGGGTCTCTTAAGGTGCATGGTTGGTGAGTCAGGAATGTGCCTGCTCCCCAGCTGGCTGGTGGCTGACCTGTGGCTGCTGCTCAGTGTCCCCCACTCTCTCTTCCCTTGCTTCCACTCCACAGTCCCCATCCCCTCCAAAGCCAGCAGCCTTTCGGCCCTCTCATTGGCCAAAGACAGCCTGGTTGGCGGCATCACCAACCCCAGTGAGGTCTTCTGCTCCGTGCCTGGACGGCTTTCCTTGCTCAGCTCAACATCCAAGTACAAGGTGACCGTGGGGGAAGTACAGCGGCGACTCTCACCTCCTGAGTGCCTCAACGCCTCCCTCCTGGGGGGCGTCCTCCGCAGGTAGGAAGGCCAACCCACAACCACTGCACAGCCCACAATCCCTGGTTTCCTCAGACCTTCTGAGGGCATCTGAAAGGGGGCCAGCCTCACTCCTACCCAAACATCATCCCCACTCAGTCTCCTGGGAGGAGGAAGGCCCAGGGACTCCAGATCACACATGTGCTGGGAGGCAGACCCAGGTCTCCAGTAGTTCCCACAGGCCTTTGGGATTGTGGTGGTGGTGGGGGGGGTGGAAAAAAGCCCAGCCACAGAGAAAGCATGAAGGACTTATCCATGTTGGAAAGAATGGACGAGGCTGGGTCTGGGGAAGAGAGAGTGTCATCTACACCCCCCTCCCCCAAAAGGTACCCCAGCACCTAAGGCCCTGTAGCATAGACCTCACTGGTGTATGTGTGCTGGGGATGGGAGCATGGTAGTTATCAGTTTGTCTTCATTGCTGTGTATTTCTCTGCGTGTCCTTGTGCCTGGGAAGGGTATTTCTGCTTCAGGGCTATAAGTTTTGATGAGTCTCAGGATGGTGTGTGTTTGTGAGTTAGGGGATGGCTAGAAGTATATGTTTCCATTAGTGTGAGCATCCTGTTACTAAGTGGCAATGTATGGCCTAGAGTGTGTCCTATTCTGTGTGTGTGTGATTGTATGTGCATGTGCAGGTAGTGTTGTGTATGTTTGCTTGCCTGTACTTCTGTGTGGGCACCACATTTGTAGAGGTGTCTCTGTATTCCTGGATAATTTGAGCTTCCTGGAGGGACTGAGTATCTGTACATATGTCTCTGGGATCTTGATTTGATGTTATCATGGGTCTGTCTTGGGTCTCTGCATGTGTATCTCTTGGTGTCTCTGTATTCTTGGCCCTCAATGTGCCTCATCTATGTGTTTGTGGGTCTGAGTCCTGAGTGACTGTGTGTGTGTACCTGTGTCTCCCTGTCTATGTCCCTGTGTCTCTTGTGGATCTGTGCATCCCCAACAAATGTGCTAAGGTGGGGAAAAGGACCCTGTGATGCTGTCCTTCTCCACCCTGGGCTATCGAGGACTGGGAAGAAGAGAGGGAATCTTGGAGCCAGGTGCTGGGCCCCCCTAAGCCAATCTTGACTGCAAAACCAGTAAAGTTAGAAAGAGTTTGGGATCTTGCTAAGAGACCCTAGAGAATCTCCAAAGCCAAACCTAAGCCTCAACAGGGGTTGGTGCAGGCAACAAGGCCCTGTAAGGACCACTTAGCCCACAGGCTTCTCTCTTGTCTTCATAGTTGTGTGTCTGTCTCTCTCTCTCTGCATATCAAGAGCCAAGTCCAAGAATGGGGGTCGGTGTCTACGGGAAAGGCTAGAGAAGATTGGGCTCAACCTGCCAGCTGGCCGTCGGAAGGCTGCCAATGTGACACTGCTGACCTCATTGGTGGAGGGTGAGTGAGAACTGAAGGTGGGCTTGAGCATGAGTGTGAGGAGGTCTGTGTCACCTGGCATGACTTGTCTCTAATGCAGGAGGGTGTGTTTAGTCATGTGTGTATTCGTGTAAGCACTGCAGTATCTCTGTGTCATGTGTAAGACGGCATGTATGTGATATGTGTGCACAGTTGGCCCTCTGTATCTGCGGGTTCCATCTGAGAATTTAACCAACCATGGTTTGACAATGTTTGGAAAATATTCTACCTCTAGTGAACATGAACAGACCTTTTGCTTGTCATTTATTCCTTAAACAATACAGTACAACTATTTACTTTGTATTAGCTATCACAAGCAATCTAGAGATGATTTCAAGTATACAGGAGGATGTGTATAGATTAGATGCAGATACTGTGTGCCATTGTATGTAAGGGACTTGAGCATCCATGGATTTGGGCATTTTCAGGGAATCCTAGAACCAGTCCCTTGAGGATACTGAGGGACACTATATCACCTTGCACATCTATGCATATGTGTGCACATGCAGTGGAGAGCTACTTATGGGGGTGTGTGCGTTTGTGTGTAGGGAAAGGCACAGCCAGTGTTTGGCTGTGGTATGTAGATGGGAGGGGGACAGCCCTCTTCCCTGGAGGTCAATGACTCTGGGCTCTGTCTCTGGAAGTTCCAGGCCCAACCCCTGTAGTCCCAAGAGAGGGTAATGGAATTGAGGCTAAATCTGGGCAGGTGCAGGAAATCAGAGGCAGGTATCTTCAGAAGTTGGTATCTTCAGAAGTGGGATGGGGCAGGTTGCCCCCTGGCCAGGGGGTCAGAGGTTCAAGGCTGGGTTCCAGGCTCAGAGGCACACCTGGTAGTAGTGACAGCTCTGATCCCCACAGGAGAGGCTGTGCACCTGGCTCGAGACTTTGGCTACGTCTGTGAGACTGAGTTCCCAGCCAAAGCAGCCGCTGAGTACCTGTGCCGACAGCACGCTGACCCGGGGGAACTGCACAGCCGCAAGAGCATGCTGCTGGCCGCCAAGTGAGTGAGGGCACTCTACACAGGCTGTCAGGAGTGCAATGCACAGACACAGACCTCAGATCTGGGCACAGTGGGCCCAACTGTGAGCACATGTACACGTACGTGGCACACTGCACCACACACAGGCACATCTGGACTCCCTGCTTAGGGTCACAAGGGCACCCTCCTGCATGCTGCACAAGAATACCTGGCACCACAGGTGGGTATATTTGGGCACCATGTTCATTACTTTCAGACCTAGTTAGAAGAGAACCAGACTCATGGGATTACCAAATGGAGAGACCTGGGAGGCTGCTTATATTGTGTTGGAAAAAGCCCATCTATGGTGGATTCCACCTCATTCATGAATCAGTTCACATACCAAGTGCTTCCTGAGTCCCAGTAATGTCTAAGATGCTGGCTGGGTTTCTTGGTGACAAAGAAGAGTGATGACTGATCCTCTTGCCTGAGCCACATATGGGGTTCACAGAGAAATGGATAATGACTGCAGACTGGAGTTGGACTCATATCCCAGCTCAGTCCCCATGACAGGTCATCTAACCTGTCTGAAATCAGTTTCCTCATCCATATGACAGGTATAGATTTGTTTTAAAAATCATTAGATGATGTATATAGTGTACTTGGCACAGCATCTGACCTCAATCTCTGCTGCTAGATAATATTTCAATTGTGTAAGGCAAATTTTGTGGTTCCCTAATAATTTCAAAAGACAAGGTTCCGTGAAGCACTGGGTTTTTGGGGTAGTTGAGAGGATCAAGGCAAGTTTTCTGAATAAGGCAGAAAGAAGTTGAGCTGAGCTCTGAATGTGGTCAGGACATCCACAGGGAGAGCACAGCCCAGTACGTGGAGCACGTGCTGTTTACTGGCTGTATGATATTGGGCTACTCGGTTACTTCTCTGAACCTTGGTTTTCTTTTCTGTGAAATGAGTATAATCATCATTTGTAGACTGTTGGGAGAGGCAAGCAATTGTGTAATCTAAGAACCCAGAACACAGATTCTTCTCTGGGCCCAGAGCCTTGTCCTTTAACTTCTGACCTTCCTTCCCCCACCAGGCAGATCTGCAAGGAGTTTGCTGACTTGATGGCTCAGGATCGCTCCCCATTGGGCAACAGCCGCCCAGCACTCATCCTGGAGCCTGGAGTGCAGAGTTGCCTGACACACTTTAGCCTCATCACCCACGGCTTTGGAGGGCCTGCCATCTGTGCTGCCCTCACCGCCTTCCAGAACTACCTGCTGGAGTCACTCAAGGGACTGGACAAGATGTTTCTAACCAGTGTAGGCAGTGGGCATGGTGAAACCAAGGCTTCAGAGAAGGATGCCAAACATCGGAAATAACCGAATCTCTCATTCATCCTAAGGGGCTCCCAAGCCCTGAGTTGAGACTTAGCTCCTAAGGTGGCCCTGAAAGGACTAAAAGGTGGGATTAGAGTCAGGCCAGAAAAAGAACATTCATCCAGAAACCCCAGTTAGGGCTCTGGATAGGAGCAAGGGAGGTGGTCTGTTGGTAAGAGCCCAGGTATCTGTCTCACGTGTGCAATTGTCTGACCTTTGCTAAAAAGGGCTTGGACAGGAAATTGGTATGAAAAAGTCTAGCTTGAGGAGCAGAGCCCTACCCTTTAGGGAGTCTGGGCAGCAGTGGGCTCCTAGGGGCCGAGGTTTTCTGCTTTTTAATAATAGCTGGAGGACATTGTTAACAAATCAGAGGTGCTACTGAAGAGCTAGTAAGCCTCATCCCAGAATCTCCTACCCCAGAAAAGAGGTGCTGGAAGGAGGTCCCAGTGGGCTTTGTGAACCCTTTCCATTCTTGAAGCAAAGGGCAGGAGAAGCCCTAGTGGAACAAAGACAAAGCACAACTTGCAGAACTTGAATCCAGGCTGCGCGTCACAGCCCTGTTGCTATTTGTCCTATTTATTTATGTATGATGTAATTAAATTTGAAAGTTTAAAAATGTCGAGCACAACTTACTTATCCCAGTGAGTTGGGGATTTATTTCACTGTTTTCTGCTCATTCTCTGAGAGGACCATCAGGACCAGGACAGAGAGGGTGTTTTGCTCACAGAGAGCTGTGCATGGGCTGGGAGGGAAGAAAGGTATGTCAGGCACCCTGATGTCATCACAGGGTTTTGTATTTGCTGTTTCTCTCCACCCTACAGTTGAAACACCTCCCCATCTCTCAGATTGCTTCCTCAGTCTCTTAATAAAACCTGACCTTGGCTATGAAGCCCTTCCTGTCCTTCTTCAGTCCTGGGGCCTGGATTTCCCTCCTTTGAGATCACTGAGTAGAGGCAGAACCTGGGATTTAGGAAGGACTTGGGGCAAGAAAGGGTCCTTAATGGGGAACACATTAGGAGTGGTGTGGATACCTAGGGAGTCCAGATGTGGATCTATCTGGCTATCTGTGTGTGTCAAGTGAATACTGTTTGTGTATTATTGTGACTTGCTGGCCTGTAGGTGAATGGGTCATCTTGGCTATTAGCTGTCTGTACTGTGTTGCCATGACTGTTGGTGGTAGGTTTGTATGTGTCCGTGTGAATGCTGGTGACTGTGTGTGTGTATGTGTGTGTGTGTGTGTGTGTGTGTGTGTGTGTGTGTGAGAGAGAGAGAGAGAGAGAGAGAGAGATTGAGATTATCAGGCCAATACTAATTCAACTCTTTTCTTGAGGATTTCACTCTTTGGGCATCTTTTTTTTTTTTTTTTGTCCTGCATTTTTAATCTCTCCCTCCCTATTGAATTGTCTACTAGAGTGTTCCTCAAGCACACATATCTTCTTCTTCCTTTTTTTTTTTTTTTTTTTGTGTGTGTGTGTGTGTGGTGCTGGGGATTGAACCCAGGACCTGGTACATGCGAAGCAAGCTCTCTACCAACTGAGCTATATCCCTAGCCCCTTGTAGGATCTCTTATAAAACATAAATCCTTTCCCCATCTATTTATTTCCTTTGCATTTGAAATTTGTTTTGCTATTTACAATGCTGAAGATTGAGCCTGAGGACTCACCAATATTAGGCAGGTACTATACCACTGAGCAACACTTCCAGCCAAGTGAGTTTCTAAAAGGTTGCTACACCCCTACTTCCATTTTCTTTATTGCCAATTCTCCTCAAACCACTTCAGTTCCTAATAGTCCGTTGAAATCCACTTAGCATGGTCATTGATGATCACAATGTCAAATCCAAAGGACTTTTTCTGGATTTAACAGTGGCATTTGCCACAGCTTACCACTTGTTCTTTTCTAAAACACTCCATGGTTCCCAACTTCTCCTGATTTCCCCTGACATCACTGGTTCCAATTCTGTCTACTTTGCTGGCAGCTGCTTTTTTTTTTTCTTTTTGTTTATTTTTTAGTTTTTGATGGACACAACATCTTTATTTTATTTTTATGTGGTGCTGAGGATCGAACCTAGCACCCCGCGCATGCCAGGCGAGCATGTTACCGCTTGAGCCACATCCCCAGCTCCTGCTTTTTTTCTTTTGGTCCCAAGAATTGAACCCAGAGACACTTAACCACTGAGCTACATCCCCAGCCCCTTTTTGTATTTTATTAGAGATAGGGTCTCACTGCATTGCTTAGGGCTTTGCTAAGTTGCTGAGGTTGGCTTTGAACTCATGATTCTCCTGCCTCAGTCTCCCAAGCCACTGGGATTACAGGCATGCACCATCATGCCTAGCAGCTAACTTCTTCTCTACTAGAATCTCATTCAATCCCATGATTTTACACATCATTTGTAGGATGCTAATCCCTGAATTTGCATCTTTGGCCCTAACTGGTCCCTGAACTCCAGGGACCAATATGGAGGACTTGACTCTACAAAAAACATGACCTCCTCCAAACTGTCCCATCTTTGCAAATGGTCTCATCTTCTACCAGGCCAGGAACTGGGGAGTCATATTTGATTCTTCCTCTACATTCAATTCCCCACTAAGTCTTACTGATTCAGAATCCATCTTTCCATCTCCACTGCCACCACCCTCAACATCTGTCTACAAGAGCCTCCCTACAGGTTTGATTTCACTGGTATACCTTCCTGCTATGGCCCTGAAATGACCTGAACTTTGCCAACCTTACCTTAAACTATTGTCTTCAATACCCACTTTACTCTAGCCATATGGATTTTTTTTTTCCCCCGGTGTTGGGGATTGAACTCAGGGCCTTTTGCATGTCAGAAAAGCACTCTACCAACTGAGCTATAGCCCCAGCCCTATATGGATTTCTAGTCCTCAGACTTTCTCTTAGGGCCACTGCAGTCACTGTTGCCCCTGCCTGGATGACTCTTCCTCCATGTCTTTACAAGTATGCTGTCAGGCCCAGAAGTTAAGGATGCTTTGCAGAGATGAAGGTATGCAAGGCACATGAGGTTCAGACATTATGTTTCAGGATAAGGGTCCAAAGATGTGACTTCTTTTCCCAAGAAGTTTCAAAGCCTTAACCCACCCATAGAAAAGGATAAATGGGGGAAGGTGGAAGTATGCTCTGCTGTAACCAAGGCCCAGGACCTGGCAAGCGACATTCTTCTACTAAAATTATCTCAGATTACAGGAACTTGGGGGGTTAAAATGACACAAAAGGAATCTAACACTTATAAAATACCTAGCATAAACAAATCAATAAAAGCTTGGTAAACAAGGAAGAAGCTAGAATTCAAGAACTGTTCAGTACTAGACAACTTTCCCTAAGGAAAGAACAAGGTAGTTCTCATGAAGACCCAGGTAGTCCTCACCAAGACCAATTTTTATCTCTATATTTTTTTGTACCAGGTATTGAACCCAGGGGCACTTAACCACTGAGCCACATCCCCAGCCCATTTTTTTTTTTTAATTTTGAGACAAATTCTTCTAAGTTGTTGAGGCTGGCCTCAAATTTGCAATCCTCCTGCCTCAGCCTCCTGAACAGCTGATTATAGGCATGCACCACTGCACCCAGCAAGACCTATTTTAGAATTAAAAAAATTGTAGCTGCATAACTTGCCTAGGGTCTCTCATGTCACAGAGTGGGTCTCACATAGATCAGTTTGATAAAACCCTCCCTTCATTTCCACTGTAACACATGGACCCTATGCAGAGAGACTCACAGGCCTGAGCCCTACAAGGGAAAGCAGGTCTTCCTAGCCCCTCATGCCCCAAGGCTCTGCTATACCAGCATATGGTCAGGATCATTAACAGTGCAGAGGAAGCAAGTGTGGAGACTGTGTAAGTAGCATAAGCAGCGCCTAATGAGGTCTCAGCATTTGATTCTTTCCATTTTCCCCCCATAGCAAAAGTGTGTGTTAGCCTCTGACTAGCTGGGTATAGCCCTGAGGAAAAGGAGATGGTGATTAAAGAAACGGTATTCACTCCGGTTTACATAGCTTTTTTGCAAAGTAAGAAGCTGTGAATTAAATGGAGTGTATTTAGACTGGGTAAGCAACATGATTTTCAAATTGTGCATTTGAGTTTATACTCACTTAAAGAAAATGCCTTTCTGTTTTCTTTGAAAAGATCAGAGTATTTCAGGAGAAATAAGGGCAGTGTTTGAAAGCCTTCCTTCCCTCAGGCCTTATGAGGGAGTGAGTGAGGATGAGGTACAGGCTTTCTCCTCACACACTGGCTCCTGATAGATTTCTAGAATCTGGAGAAAGTCCCTCCTGTCCCTCCTCTCCCTTGAGCACTGCTGCAGTTTCCTTGTCAAAGGACTAAGGTAAGGATAGCAATAGTGACAGGACTCTGGGTTTTTTTTTTTTTTTTTTAAATATTTTTTTAGTTGTTGATAGATCTTTTATTTTTATTTATTTATATGTGGTGCTGAGAATCGAACCCAGTGCCTCACACATGCCAGACAAGTGCATTACCGCTGAGCCCCAGCCCCAGCCCAGGACTCTGGGTTCTACACAGAGAAGACTTAGCCTCCATTGCTCAGCTGGGAACACCATGATCTTCTCAAGCCATTTCAGTGCCTTCCTCCTCCTCCTCTCAGGTTCCTTCAGTCTTCCCAGCCCTTCACCAGTCAAGGTTGAGCTTCCCTGCCCTCAGGCAAAACAGCTGCTCCCTTCTCCAACCTGACCCCTCCCACCCTAAGCCTGGGAAGGAATAAATTGTTTTCTGTGTATTAATCACCTGCAAGCAGATGGAAACCAATTGGAAGACCATTCTGGGCAATGTTTGGCCAGGAGTGTTAAAGAGTTATTTCATTCCTAGGGTTTTTCAAACTTTAAGAAATCAATTTAGGACACAGCTGGCATTTTTAGAAATAAAATCTAGAAAAAAACAGAATATGAGTGTAGAGCATCTTGATTCAAAACACATACACACCTACAACTGTAAGAAAAGTTCCACAAGGTAGTGCTTACCCTTCTTACAGCAGGTACTTGTATATGGTTGTCAAATCCTAAGTCAATGCTGAGGCCATGGAAACTGAGCTGGGCCTTGGGCTTTATGGGGTGTGGAAGGGAAAGGAAATCAAGGAGCTAGTTAGGAGTATGATATGCCTGTTGTCAAACCAAACAACTGGGCTTTATTCTATAAGCAGTGGAAAACCAAAAGAAAGTTTTAAGAGAACTGAAGGAATGGATGGTCAACTATTTTACTGAACTGAGAAACTGGAGGAAGAAGAGATTAAACGTAGAGCAAAAGTAGGTTGTTAGAATTGATGGGGGAATGAACCAGAATAGTAGGGATGCAGACTTGAAATATGAACAAAGGCTGGTGTTTTGTACTGATGTTGGTTTCTTAGTTTTAACAATATACCATGGTTATGTAAATACTAACATTAAACAGAAACCGGATGGGAGGGGGGTGTAAGGAAACTATATTATCTTTGCAACTTTTCTGTAAAACCAAAGTCATTCCCAAATAAACATTTATTAAACATAAATGATGCCTACACTTCTGGTTTGGGCACCTAGAAGACAGGTAACTAATTCTCTAAGATGGACCAAAATTGTAGAGAAGGACATTTGGATGGGGGCAGATGGTAAGGCTCAGCTTTAGATATGTTGAGTTTGATACGGTTAGAAGGGGCTGGTTAAGAATAAGTTGATGGTCTGGGGATGTGGCTCAAGCGGTAGCGCGCTCACCTGGCATGAATGCAGCCTGGGTTCGATCCTCAGCACCACATACAAACAAAGATGTTGTGTCCACCAAAAACTAAACAATAAATATTAAAAAATTCTCTCTTTTAGAAAAAAAAAAATAAGTTGATTTGGGGCTCAGGAGGGAGAACAGGAACAGAGATCACAATGATCAGAGATCAAAATTAGGTGGGTTTGCTGGCTTGCCTGAGATTGCCCTGAGGACATTAACATTCAAAGGAAGAGAAAGTGTCATTCCTGGTGAGCTCTGGATGTCCAATCACAGTGATGTTTGAGGCGAAACCAGTTGTGGTGAGGTGAATCATCTTTCCTCCTGCTTGACTGGATGATTAGTTTTCTTATGGTATAAGGCACTACTACTGGTATATTAAAAAGCATATTAAGACAGCCAAACCTGATGTTAATTCAATACTGTTCATATGAATGCTATGATCTACTATGGATACCTGTGATAAAGTAAGACTTAGACTAAACGGTGCTCAATGGTGGATAGGCACCATCAGCGACTAGAAATGTTAGAAATTCAAAATCTTGCCAGGTGCGGTGGTGTACACCTGTAAACCTAGTGGCTCAGGAGGCTGAGACAGGAGGATCTCGAGTTCAAAGCCAGTCTTAGCAATGACAAGGTACTAAGCAACTCAGTGAGACCCTGTCTCTAAATAAAATACAAAATAGGGCTGGGGATGTGGCTCAGTGGGCAAGTGCCCCTGAGTTAATTCCTGGTACCCCCCCCCCAAAAAAAAAAACACCTCAGGCTCTACCCAAACAGGAATAAACGGTGGCAGTAGGACCCAGTGATCTATTTCACTAAGCCCTAAAGTGGGTTACAATGCACACTAAAAGTCTGAGAGCCACAGCTCCAAAGAATTCAACCCAGTAGTTTTCTATCACGATAGAAGATAAGAATAAATTGGAAAAAATTTTTAAAATTCTTATGTCTAAGCCCCAGAGTTACTTAGAATCTAGAGGTGCAGCCTAATCTGTACACTAAGAAAGGAAATGCCCTAAGTGATTCTGATACAAGCATCTGGTTAGGAAGGAACCACTGGTTAGGGTATAGGGGTATAACTCAGTGGTAGAGTGTTGCTTAGCAAGTACAAGGTCTTAGATTTGATCCCCAGCACCACACACAGAGAGAAACTACTGTTTTAGTGGCCCTGATCAGAATATTCATGTTATTCCCAAAAAGCTAGAGTGAGGTAAAGTACCTATCTGGTTAACTGCCACAGTATACCAATTTAAAGGGATATTATATAACTCTCTAATATAGTGTTAAATGTAACAAGCAATACACAGAACATTTAAAAGACTTTTTAAAGGGGATGTGGTCTATATGTATGTGTGTATGCATACTTTACACAGGAATAGAAGCTCTCTTTTTTGGTACTTAGAATTGCTCTTAAAAAAAACAAACAATTGTAACTGAAGTTTTCTCTGGGAAGATAAGCAGGGGATCAGACTGTAAGGAATGAGAGGAGACATTTCTTACTATGTGTTTTTGTATTATTTGCACAATTTGCTAAATGTATGTAATACCCCCCTAAATTAATTTAAATAGTATAAGCTTACTGGCAAAAAAAACCACTGCTCTAGAGGGAATGGGATATTAGCAAGCAAATAAATGAAAGAGCTAGTTAGAAAAGAAGCTGGGCAGTGAAGCAGAATGTAGGGCTGTCAGCTGCTAAAGGCAGTTAAAGCATTAACATAGGAAAAGGGGTATGAGGAAGGAGAGTTCTGGTAAAAACACAATCCTCTGTCTAGTTCTTTTCTGAAGTGATGTTAGCTACACTAAAAGCCAAGTCAGGAAAGTTAATTTACCCATATTTAATTTTATTCAGAATTAACCATCTTTCACGAGTACACATCCAAAGAGTAGAAAAAATTAAAGGTTCCTGTCAAAAACAGTTTCCTGGCAAGTGGGAAGGAGGGTACGATGTTAGGGTTCACGTTTAGGGAAGGAAATGTTATCCAGGTCATGGATGCCATTTTTGTCAATGATTCGAACACTGAAGGTTGGCAGATTCAAGATGAAGCGCTTCTGGAGCTGTAGAGAGATGTAAAGGAAACCAATTAACAAACATTTATTAAACACTATGTGGAAGGCTCTGTTTTAGGCATGGTGAATATAAGCAGATAAAAATTCCTGCTTTTGTAGGAATATCCCTTCAGATATTCTCCTGGGGCAGCTGGCACTAGGGCACACAAGAATGCCCATATATCAGCTGGAGGCTGACTGAAGTGTGATCTGGAAGATGCAGCTGGAGATCTATCTCTGGTTAGTCAGCTGAAAGAAAGAGACAATCCAATGTTCTTATCCCTGCTGTCCTAGGACTCAACAATTTGCTCCAGTCATCTACCCACATCAGAAGGACCAGGCAAGTGTGAGTAAACTTTATGTGCAGTTGCCAGAGTGGTGAGAAGGATATCAACAGAACAGTTCTTGGAACAAGTCCCATTTCTGTCTCCTCCAGTTCAGGCTGAGGCTGTTCCAAAGGGGCTGTGGAGTATGTGCATGGAAGGAGATAATCAGCACACAAATCCAGCTGGGAGATTACTGGGAAACACAGCTTTGAAATCTTTTCTTTCTGGACACCTCACTTGGAACCTCCAGAGAGAAGACTCCAGGCTTTTCAGCTGCTCCCTTAGAAGCCTATCCTGAAAATGTTTACCTCCTCAGGTTTAACTCTCCTTTCCTTCATGTTTCCATTTCCTTTGCAGCTGAGGACTAGGCAGCAACAGCTCGTTCCATTTCCAGAGTCCTCTAAAGCTCCAAGATCAGGAAAAGGTGATAATAAGGAACTAAGGGTTTCTAAATGGATTCTTTTTAGAATACACAGGGAATAAAATCTCAAGAGCATTTGATATTCCAGTAGCTTCTTCCCAGCAGCCCCCTGCAACATTTGGGACTCATATGGTCTCTTAGCTGGATGGTTAATAAAAGTACATGGGGGGAAAAAAAAGGACATGAGTTTAAATTTTCAGTGTCTGCTTTGGAAAGGGGATTTACAACCAAGAGGAAGAAGGGAGAGGGCACTGTGGACAGGATGGTGTAACAGGCAAACTGACATTACTGCTAAGCCTCCATACCTGCTCCCATCCTGCCACTCTCTCAATAAATTCATCCTTAGGCCACAAGAAGAGTAAAAGAACGAAGAAACCTAATGGAGCTGCTTTTGCCATCTCATCCTACAATCACTCCTAAAGCCTGAGACTCTCAGGAATAGTACTAGAATGAGGAGGGTACACGTTCTTGTCTCACCAACCAAATGCTACTCTTTCCTCTGCCTCCTCAATGCACAGGGAAGGGTTTTTCTCCATATTACAAGGGCTCATGCACAGTTAAGGGAGTAGACAGTAGGGCAATATCAGGTGGCACAAGAACAGAGCAAGTATTAAGTCCAGGGCAATGATTTTTATCGTAGGTATGGATAGAATGGCACCAAATATCACCTATAGCAAAATTACCTGGGACTGCCCATTAAAAAGTAGATTCTCAGTCTCAGGACAGTAGAATCAGAATCAGGGGCTGGGGCATGGATAGTGACCTACCTACCTACCTACCTACTTCATTCCTTTCTTCTTGTGGTACAGGGGATTGAACCCAGGGATGCTCTGAACTACATGTCCAGCCCATTTTATGGTCTTGCTAAGTTACCACATCTGGCCTAGAACTTGTGCTCTTTCTGCCTCAGTCTTGCCAGGTTGCAGAAGCTGAGGCAGGAGGATCACAAGGTATATACTCTATGCCCAGCAGTAACCTGCTTTTTTTTTTTTTGTACTAGGGATTGAACTCAGAGGCACTCAACCATTGAGCCACACCCCTAGCCCCATTTTGTATTTTATTTAGAGACAGGGCCTCACTGAGTTGTTTAGCACCTTGATTTTTGCTGAGGCTGCCTCCTAACTTGTGATCCTCCTGTTTCAGCCTCCTGAGCCTCTGAGATTACAGGCGTGTGCCACCAAGCCTGGCAGTAACTTGCCTTTTTAACAAGTTCCCCAGATGATTCTTATACCCTAAAGAGAACCAATGAATGGTCTGGATGAACCAGAAATAAAGTAATTACACTGTAAAATTGACATTGATGAGGAGGTGACCCATGAAAAAAAAATAAACTTGTTACTTACACCAAACTGGCAGCAACTTCACATCTGGTCAGTGGGTATTTATTACACCTTCTGGCAAGGCCCAGAACAAAAGCAACCAAGGAACGGGTACAATATTGGCAAGGAGAGACACAAAACATTCCTTTCAGGATCCCATGGGAGCTACTCACCTCCTCCAGACATTTTCTAAGAAGCTCCACTGCCCTCTCACGTGAGATAGCTGAAAGAGAACAGACAGGCCAAATACTCAAGGTACTGTCATTATGTCCAACTCTCAAGAGGCTTTTGATGAAGTTTCAAACTTCTTTATGTGTAAGTGCCACACAAACAGAAAAGGCAAAAAATGCTTAGCCTTCTAGCCTGAAACAAACTTATTCCATATGCAATCGAGGGTGCCCCAGACCTAGTGCTCCAGCAGCCGCAAGCCATTGCAAATTGATTTGCTACAGAGAAGAGTAAGCATGACGGAATTCTGCCTCCCCTGGCCAGGACCCGCCTCTGAAGAAGTCCAGCAGCCTGCCTCTCTTTATCATAACTCACCCCCTCCACCCTCCTTTAGTCCAGGCTTAAATCAATTCCATCTGCCCCAGCCAGCTGCAAATCAGGGAAAGGGAGGACAGGGCCAGAGTTTTAGCCCCACTTTCTCAGTGGGGTCTCAGTTTAACAATGGGATGAGGATTCGTAGGATGGGACTGGGATGCTCCTAAAACAGGATGCAAAGGAACTGTCTATGGGCATGGCAAACTGGGTTGACATATTACACAGTTAGAATTCAGGGGTGGTTGTTGGTTATTTTGGTGGGCAAATCAGCTGTATTACGGACATATGCCAAATCAAGAGACAGTCACTAGGAGGCCAGGCTAATTCTTTTCAAGATGTGGCCTGGAGCTCCAGTAGGGCTGAGGTTGAGCAAGAGGGCAGCACAAAAAGGAATGAACATGCCAGATTTTTATGACACAGAGAGGGAAGAATGGAATGTAAGGAGAGAAGAGATTATCTGTGCTATATCTATAGTCTGTAAAAACTAAGAATTCCAAGTGTCAATTGCCCACAGTGGCTGAAGTTGAGGTTGAGATTGAGGTCAGAAGATAGAACTTAGCAGAAAAGCATCCCTGGGTCTGAAGTTCTGGAAAGCTGACAGTGTACTGACAAGTAAACGAACAGCTTTTTCTTTCAGAAGAGAGCGGTAATCAGGGGCTAAGAACCAAATGAAGGGCCCATCTTCAACTTTAAAAAGCTTTGATGTTTAAACAAAGAAACCATCAGTTGTCATGCTGGGAACCTGTTCATTTTCACAAGTTCAAAACGATGCACAAACTACTTGATTTACTCGCTCATTCTCTATAGCTGAAATGTCAATGGGCATCTACGAAGAGCAAAATGAGTGAAATAACTTAATTCTTGTAATTTAAGAATTATAGAACCTAATAAAAATGTTTTACTCACTACGACATATACTCCAAACCCCCTTTAAAACAAACCAAAACCCAGTTCTAGAGATATACAATATCTCATTTTGGCTGACAAAAGTCTTTTATTAACAAATTTGTGAAGATCCTACTGACCCACAGCTTTTATTCAGGACCTGGCCACCCAACTCCAAGGTGAGCAAACTGGGAAGTAGTGAGTGAAGGGCTCTGCTACTGCTCTTTCCCTGCAGTGCTGGTACCTACTTGGTGTATAGTATCGGTCCAGGATACTGAGAGTCAGGAAGGCACCATAACCATGAGCTGCAAAAGGAGCCTTTGCCAAGGCAGCCAGGTAGTCCATGTAGTAGAGTGCTGGCCCCTCATGTTCATCATAGCCAGCCAGGAGGAGGTTCACATGATATGGGGTCTGCAAAGGAAAGAAATGGCAAGGTGATGATTAAAGCAGAACAGCAACATCCCTTCCCAAGGCAAATGGGAATATTGTAACTCTTGATGAATAAGAAATTTAGCAGCAACTGAGTAAATCACAATGAAAGTAAAAATGCAGAGAAATCTAGAAGATTAAAGTGTGTTCAGAGGTGAAAGGGAGGTCAACTTGGTTCCTTTGAACATTTGGAGAAATATGAAAAGGCTGCTTTGTTCTTAAAGCCTATGGATAAGAACCTGACACAAAAGCACTTCAAAAGCAAAGCATGGGTGGCCTTGTGTCACTCCTAACTGTTGAAACCAACGAACACAATTCTGAGTGTCAGGCCACAGACTAACGAAAGTAGCTCCAATCACATCATCCAAAACAAACAAGCTCATGAGCCCAGGAGTTCAAGGCCCGCCTGGCAACATGAAATTGCTTCTCAAAATAAAATCTAAGCTCAGTCTGGGCATCTGGGACCAAAAACTGAAGTGATACACTGTGCCCTACAATTCTTGAGGTAGGGAGTACATCTCAAATATTTAAATCAAATCACCAGACCTTTTTTTTTTTTTAATATTTTTAGTTTGTGACCATCCCTATACTTAACGTATGTATTCTATTAATTGTGCATATACCCTATTGTGGATCATGAAGTAATTATAGCTAATGATTCTAAAAGTGACAATTTGTATTCGGTCAACACTGATTAACATGGGCACTTGGTAGCCTGAAGAAACTCATATTAGAACACATGAAAGTATTATTGTTTACTTAGAATCTTTCTCTCAAACCAGTGGTACTAACTAGGATGAGTTCCTAAAAATCTCTTGAAGATTACAGAGGAGCCTTAACCTACAAACAACTTTCTGCTTTGAGGATAAGATGGTGAACGGTCTCAGAAGAAAAAGAACTGACCAGTTGTGGTCAAGACTTCTGAGGAAATTATTACCTGCCTATCACACTTCCCAAGAGTAATGTGCTGCATTCTGCCAAGCTCTGGAATTCTCTGTCAGCCCGGGACTACCTTCTCAGTAAGTCTCACCTTAGGCAAGATGCTTAACCCCTATGAGTTTCTGTTTTCTTATGTGTAAAAGTGAGCTAATTAATCCTCCCCTTTCCATCTTCTAGGGAGTATTTTGAGAAAAAACAATACAGGTGAAACATCTCAAATTCTAGAAGAATCAACACACTTACCTAAATTCCCAGTGTATTAGTTACATCCTAGCCACCTTTTTTGAAAACTTGCCACTGTAAACAACCAACTGTTTAAATTAGCTAAAAATAAAAATATATTTAACTAATAGCAATTTTATTTTTATTTTTTGGTGACTGGGATTGAACTCAGGGGCACTAAACCACTCAGCCACATCTCCAGCTCTATTTTGTATTTTATTTAGAGACAGGATCTCACTGAGTTGCTTAGTGCCTCACTTTTGCTGAGGCTGGCTTTGATCTTACAATCCTCCTGCCTCAGCCTCCCATGACGCTGGGATTACAGACACGTGCAACCATACCTGATAGCAATATTTTAAAAGTGTGAAGATAGCATTTCAAAATCTCAATACACTGCTGTTCTTACAGTTAAAACTAGAATGGAAGAGAAAGGTAGGGGGCAAGGAGAGGGAGAAGGAGTGGGGAGGGGGAGAGAGAGTGAGAACAGCAAATGATTCTGATTTTTCTTCCCCAAGAAAATTAATACAGTTTATTACTCATCACAAAATAAGTTAATCTTTCTTCTAAGAGGATAACTCTACCCTTCTCCACTCTCTGGTCAGAACACCCACTGCATGATTAACCAAAACAATCTTACTCAATTGCAATGGTATATAGGGATCTGCTCAGATTCCTAAAGAGTACTTAACCAGCAGAACCCAGATGTTTCTGTTTCTAATGAGGCTCTTGCCTATCTTCTAATATTAAATAGTGTTTAGAACAATTAATGTTACTTAAAAGCCAATGCCGGAAGATTTTACATAAAAACCTATGGCAGCTGGGTGCAGTGGCGCACACTTATAATTCCAGTGGCTCCAGAGGCTGAGGTATGAGGATTATGAGTTCAAAGCCAGCCTCAGCAACTAGATGAGGCTCTAAGCAACTCAGCAAAACACTTTCTCTAAATAAAAATATAAAAAGGGCAGGGCTGGGGTTATGGCTCAGTGGTAGAGCACTAGCCTAGCATGTGTGAGGCACTGGGTTTGATTTTCAACACCACATAAAAATAAATGAATAAAACAAAGCTACCATGTCCACCTACAACTAAAAAAGTACACACACACACACACACACACACACACATAAAATATACAGGACTGGGGATGTGGCTTAGTGGTAAGTGTCCCTGGGTTTAATCCCTGGTACCAAACCAACCAACCAACCAACAAACCAACAAAAAACCCTATGACAAAAAGAATTCCATAAGCAAACTATGTTGCTCCATTGGTCTATATAATATCATTTATTTATGCTTAAGCATCTGATACACGTACTCACCAAAGTTGGTATTCAGAAGCTACAACTTTGGTATAAAAGATAACTCACAAATACTGTGCGACTCCGAATTACCAACTTTTACATGTGTGAGATGCTTAAGCATAAATAAATGGTGTTATCCAGACTAATTAAATCAATACATCTGTGTAACAACTTGCAGTTTCTGAAATTCTGACAATGCTCTATCGAAGATCTCTAGCTCACACTAGTTTTTTAAAACTTCAAATAAAATTTTACATACTATCAGTCTCTCACTCTAAGAATCACAGCATTCAAAGTGACAAAGCCATAGTTATACATTTCATAACTGTTATATTTCTTCTTCTGAATTTATTAGTGTTTTCCTAGAACAAGGTAAATTCTAAGGAGTTCAATTTTGTGCTAGCTTACAGCATACACATATGTGACTGCTTGTAGTGTGCTCAAGAAAAAAACAAAATATAAATACAACAATCCACCTACTCAAATATTTATGCCAATTACAAACTTTAAGAAGGCAGGACTATTTCTGGCTTGTTCAATGATATTTAAGTATATAACACATGCTCAATAAGTATTTGTTGAATGGATAATAACCATGTCAGAAAGCATTACACATGTGGCTAATGCCTAATACAACACACACACACACACACACAAAAAAAAAAAAAAAACCCAAAAAAACACTAAACCAATGTAAGAAAGTGAAAGGTCTGTATCTGAAAACTGACCCAAGTTCAAGTCAACTGCTAGCATTTCTTTCTTTCTTTTTTTTTTTTAGTTGTAGTTGGACACAAGGCCTCTATTTTATTTATTTATTTTTATGTGGTACTAAGGATCAAATCAACTGCCTCGCACATGCTAGGTGAGTGCTCCACTACTGAGCCACAACCCCAGCCCCAAATGCTAGTATTTCTACAAATTCACATATCTGTTGCTTTTAGCTTAGCTCTGGATCTTTCTCTTTCTACCTCTCTTTAGACCCAAGATGGTACACAGAGAAAGAATAAAATTGTCCAGCTTTCTATAGTTGTAAAAGGAATAAAATTTAAGTCAAGGGTATTAGCTAATAAGCACATCTTCTATGTACTTCTTCCTGAAGTACATGGAACTGAAATGAACTTAAGTATCTAACAGCATAGAGAAAGTATTCCTGGTTGTTCTTTTAGCATAGTGGGGTAACTACTGGGCAAACAATCTATAATAATATTCAAAATGACAAGAAGAATATAAAATTCCCAACTCAAAATAATTAATGGTTAAAGACATGGAAACACTTATTACCCTGATTTGATAAACATTCACTGTATACATATGTGTTGAATTATTGCAATATACCCAATAAGATGTACAAATTTAAAATGATAATAAAAATTTAAATTACAACCATTAAAGTATCTCTAGGCCTCTGAGTCCTACTGAAATAAGCACAGTTCCACTTTGGACTCTTATATATTTGGGGGGTGGGAGTCCACATCTCACACACAAAAACTTTCCTTAAGTTAGATGGAACATTTCCCTCCCTCTCACTCTTGTGCATACAACTCCTTGTACAGTCCCTCTATCAAGAAAAAGAAACACCATGGTGATTAAGAAGAGCGTGAAATTCCATAAATTTTACAGCTAAAGAGAACAGTTGTGACAAATACACTGAAACAACAAAATCAGCGACTAGAGGCTGGGCGGTGACAAGCAGCAGTGTGACATCTGGCGGAAGCCAAAGTCACAGCAAGGGGGAGAGAGGTGGGCGTGAGGAAGCATCCTGCAGAGCGTGGACACAGAAAAGGAGAGGAATTGACAGTCTTCCTTTGGAGCCAGGCCAGCCTTTGCCACCTCTAATTGAATAGGACGACACAGCTATGAGTGAGGTGCCTTGAAGAGGGGTGCAATTTCTTTTGTGGTGTGCTGCACCTTAGTGGCGCAGCAGTGTGGGAAGCATACATTTCTGGTGGGTCAATAACATGGAAGGAGATACAGACCACCAACGGGACAAACGAGTTTGTCTGGAGCTGAGTATTTTTTAATAAATAGACTCCTAAATACCCTAAGAAGAAAAAGAACTTTGAAAGGAACAGTGTGTACACTATTTCTTTTATATTTCTTCAGTGCTAGGGATTGAACTTGGGCCTCTTATAGAGTAAGCAAACACCACCACTGAGCTATACCTCCAGCCCTATGCCTGCTATTTCTTTAGTCCCCTGATTGTCAAAGCTGCTTAATATTCCATCTTTGGCATTGAAAGTATTTCATGAAAATACAGCTTACCGTTAGAAGGGATCTATGAGTTCAACCATAGTGTCCCTTTTTACACGTGAGGACTAATGTTCAAAGAAGAGACAGTGACTTGCCCTAAAATCACAGGTAATTAGCATTCTTTATTCTTAAAGACCAGAATTCCCAACTGCAAGTCTTTTCCAGGAAACCATGCTGCCTACACAAAATGGAAATTAGTATAAAAATATGATTCAATATGTAAATGTCAGTTGCACACTCAAATATTTCAAAATGTACTATTTTACATACCA